AAAAGTGGAGTGAATTTTAATAAAAAAAAATTCCGACACAAAAAATTGTACACATTTCTTACCGCACGTGACTGCGAAAACTAAAATCCTAAAATGTAAAAACATGACTCATAACAAATAGGAAAATAAACAAATGAGCTTGAAAGAGTGTAGTGAAATTTTTTCATTACGAAAATTTCCCAACACAAAACTACTAAAAAAATAAAAAATTGAGCTTGAAAGACTGTAGTAGAATGTCTTTATGCATCACAAAAGATTGGAAATTTTTTTTACTTGTGTAACTACAAAACTCAATTCCAAAACTGTAAAATTATTACTGAAAAGAAAGCAAATAAATTATAGTGCTTAAAAGAGTGCAAGTTGAATTTTTTTATTAAGAATTTTTCCCAACACGAAAAATTGTATAAATTTCTCGAGTGGGGTAACTATGAAACTAAATTTGAAAAATGTTACAATATTACTCAAAACTACTTGAAACAGTGCAGTGGAATTTTTTTATGAAAAAAAATTCCCAACAAAAAAATTGTACAAATTTCTAACTGGAGTAATTACGAAAACTAAATTTCTAAAAAACAATAATATTACTCAAAACAAATAGAAAAAAAAAGATTATTATTCAATTTTTTTATATTCATTCCTATCAATAGGCTACAATAAACCTACTAAAATCTCTTCATATCTACTCTCATTTTCTAAATACAAACAATATCATAATCAACTCTAGATTATCTCAAATCCCCTCACCTTCCAAATACAAGTTAAATGTTATAACATGATACACCATAAAAAAAATTATTTAATTTTTATAAAAATTAATATTTATAATTGTATTAGTTATTCATTTAAAAATAATATGCTTTCTCTTTTTTACTAAATAGTTTAATATAACTTAATGTTTTAATTTATGTTTACTATACGTGAAAATAATTATAAGCTTATCTAGAGATTTAAAGATTATTGTAGCAATTTTTTAAAAATAAAAATCTTAAAAAGTTTAAATATTTTGTTAGGAGTAAAAATGTGTTGATGGACTACTTACGAATATAGAAAGTATGTTTCACACGTAATCAATGAAAGTTATAATATGAGGTGCAAAGTCTATTTCTATTATATTAATGAAATAAAATTGTCATCTTCGTTTTATCATAAACGATTTTTTTTTAATCCTAGTACTATGTAATCGTTTGATTTATTTATTTATATTTTATTCTACTTAAATTAACATATTGTATGATTTTCTAACATAATTTACGTGGTAGTCACACATAAAATATTTTGATATTTGGAAGAAAATCTTTGATAAAATATTATTTTAAATAATTATAACTATATAAAACTTTATAAATAATATAATGCAGATGAGACAATATATCTTTTCATTCATAAGTATTTTACAAATTGGGTTAGTTTTATGTTAAATTATCTATTTTGTTGGAAGAAAAAAAATATAATATTTTGTTCTTAGACTAAAAAAAATATTGTTAAATGATTATTATTACGTGTGAACTAAAATAAATGAAAAACATTATCTTTTATCTTTGTATTTCTCATTTAACCTTGATATGTATTGAGTATTTCAAAAAACACACAGAACATATTAAAAATAATTATCACTTTGTCTTAAGATACTTTATGAACATTAATAACTATTTTATATTCTCATGTGCAAACTTACAGAGATATTTATGAAAGCTATAAAGATATATATATTTTTTCTCTGTTTAACAAGTTGAGCATTTAAAATTTTCATCCACAAACTCAAGGAATTGAGAATTTATAACTAAAAATTTGAGTAGAATATTATCTCTATTAATTAATTATGATTAATTTAATAATACGAACAAAAGTATAACTAATAACTTGTGAATAATTCTAATAACGTCAGATTATGATTTTTTAACAAATTAAGAGGACTTAAAGGAATTTTTGAATTATTTTTTTATAATAAATTAGGAAATTTGAAGACTCTATTCTAATAATAATCTATGTATATTTAAATTTTTTAATTGAAAAGCATAAAATATTTATCTCAAAAATATCAAGATAAATATTTTTATATTAATTTATATATTATAATTACTATATTATAAAATATTTTCAAAAGAAAAACACAACATATCAATTACATCAATTCTAATAAAACTCTTTTATATAATTTAATAATTTTGATGTTTCCATTCAAAAGTTTAATATAAACTTTAAAAAAAATGAAGACGATTTGGATCTCAAGTGATCCAAGTTTCTGATAATTTCTGTCTATAAATGTTACAATTTTATTTTTATTTTTAACTAAATAAAGTAATTGAAATTTTAATTTATTTATTTTCAATATACATAATTGAAAAACCTACAATTGTCCTTTTTTTTAAATTAAGTTTCTTTAAAATATCTGCAGAGAGAGTGTTTAATAAAAAGAAATTAATACTAATCAATCTGGTAAAGTTTTTTTTATCAGAAAAATAAGTTTTTTATTACTAAAATACATTAAAAAAAGTGTTTTATTCGGATACGACCACTAGTTATTTTTTATTTTATCAATTTATTTTATTTTTTTCTTAATTATTATTACTTTTTGAACACATTTATTCATTGTTTTTATCTTCTACAAATTTCACCTACTCATAATCATATATATATATATATATATATATATATATATATATATATATATTTAAAAATAAAAAATAAAAGATTACACAAAATATCATGATAAAAAATATAAAATTTTATTCACTTTTATCATTATAAAAAAATAAAATAAAAAACATTGACACTTTATTATTAAAAAAATAATAAATTAAATTAAAAATGATCTCATATTACTTAATTTAAATATGTCAAAATTACACGGTTGTTAATATTTATATATAAAAAAAGTAATTAGTATTTTTTTTTCTTACCAATCGAGAAAAATAGTAAAAGAAAATAATAAATATAAGTTAAAAAAAATAAAAAATAAAAATTAAAAATAGTTGTAGAAAAATAAAATTAAAATATTTCGTATTTTATTTTTTATGTATCAGTAAAAAAATAATTAATACTTATTATTTTATTTATTTAAGTTCTCTTTCATTATTTATTATTTTATATTATTATGTGTAAATAAAAAAAAGTAATTAATATTTTTTTTAAATTCAGTCATGATGTACATGTTATATAAAACGTCTATCAAGTTAATACACTTTCAACTAATTTTCATTTTCAACTACTTTTTATAATCAAAGGACACAGTTCATAGATTTATAAATTATTTCTTACGTTTATTTTTAGACCACAATCTCAAAACTCCCCCCCGCGTCACTTCCACCGTCACATCAAAATATTAATATTAATATTGATTTTCAGATTATATCAATCTTTGGTTCCAAACTAATCTTTGCATTACAACTACTAAATACACTAACTTTCAATTCAATTCAATTTTCGATAATACCACCTTTATTAGTCAAATTTTCCATCATTCAACTTTCAAACTGTTATTAATGCACTTTTATTGGAATACGATTATTTTATAGTAAATCAAACTAAAATTAAAGGGTGTGTGATTACAGTGCACTAATTTTAAATTTACCACAAAAAAAGTATTAATTTTAAAAGTCCAAGTATAATTGTTATAAAATTGGAAGTAGTAAAAAAATAAAGAAGATCATAATTATTACACATAAACTAAAAAGACAAGTGTAGTTAATGTTTTCCTTGGGCCCAATTTTCGAAATCTAAAAACGGATTGAGAAGCCCTTGGGCCTATAATCAATGAAAGCAGATTAAACTTTTCAGCTGAGGGAATTGTTAAACGCACAACTGATTTTGTTAAGTATACCCCTCTCATGAGTTTAGTTTTTTAATTTTTTACCAAACACTCCTCTTATAAATGCGTTTTTATCTTCTTTTGTGTAGTAATTAATGTAATTAATATTGAAAGGGTTAGTTTATAGATTATTAATTCAATTTTAATAATTTTAAATTTAATGTGTATTGAATTGTGCATGTGATACCATTGAAAAAAAAACGTAATTCCTATTGCTCAGATATTTTCAATATATATCTCATTGTTAACACTTTATAATTTATACAGTTTAATTATATTTTTGTTTTTAATTAAAATTGATTCAACGATAATGATATTACAAATTAGATATTATAAGTTTAAAATAATTAAACTATTTATAATGCTACATATAAAAGATAAACTACTACAATACGAAAACATGTTTCAATTTTGCATTGGTAATCGATGGAAAACATATTTACGTTATAAATTTATTCCACGGAAAAAATGTTTCACATGAAAATTATCTTGTTGTAAATAATATTATTTAAGGACGTGCTTAGACGAGTTTTTATATAACTTAGAGAAATGTTCGTTCAAATTTATCTTGATTTTATCACTCTCAGTTCCTTAAAACTATATTTAAAAAAACTCATAGAACAGTGAAATAAAATATAAATAAGGGGAAAAACCATATTAAAAAAAGAAGAGGAAGATTACGTTACAAGTTACTCAATTTTTCTTTAATGTCTAAAAAATATCCATAACCCAAATATATACCGTTTTTTTCTCCTTCGTATAAAAGAAAGTCACAATAATTTAGTTTGAAAGTATTAGAAAAAAATTAAGTTGAAATTATAAGAGGTGTAAACTAACAAATTAACAAAAATTGCACTAAAAACAACTAAAATATGAAGTAAATCCGAATTAACTAATTCCATGCGTGTGATCTTTATCTGATATTTTCGTACCGCAATTAACAAATTAACAAATTGTTTTGGTGTTTTTCGAAATAAATTTAATTAAACAAAATAAATATAAATATACTTTGTTGTGTTTTTTCTTCTATTTAACAACCATTCGTTAACACAGGGCTTGCATTGTATTGAGTTGCATGCCATTTTTCTTGTTTCTCAGTTTTTCGTGTTTGTTCTTCTTCCCTCTCCATCTCTGCTTGCAATTGTTGCATCGGCAGAGATAGGAGGGGTGATTGTGTTGTGTGGTTTGGAGGATGAAGGATTTCAATTTAGATCTATTTGAGTCAGAAACGATGACGGAATCCTCCTCTTTCCATTACTCTCGTAGTGCTTCTTCTTCCGATCTTGATTTTGGATTCGCCTTCAATGACAGTAATTTCTCCGACAGGATTCTTTGTATTGAGATCATCGATGACCTCGTCGAGGCTCCACCTAATAATGAGCCTTGCACCACAATTCTCAATTGTGCTCGCCCCCACGATAGGAAACATGACGATACCAAGAAGGATAATGGTATTTTAATTTTCCCCCTCTTTTTTTTTTTTTTTTTTTTTATTTTCACAAATCAATAAGAGGAAATCACAACATCAAGAGATTATGAAAATTGTTTTGTGTTGTTTTGTGGCCTGGGTGTTTTTGGAAATTATGAATGTTATTTTCTTTTGTGTGTTGAAATTTTTTGCTGTTGTAAGTGAAATCTTAGATTTCTAAAGAATCAATATTATTTATTTTAAATTGACTGCAAATAAACAAACAATGTAATGAAATTCGGGATAAATAATAAATTATAAGGATAATTCCATACAATTGTTTCACTAATTTAAGTTCCATTTTGTTTTTTCTTAATATTTGTGAAAACAGTTCTTAAAACTTTTTCTTATTTTGAAGTGAATGAGTATCATAATTGTGGTTCAAGTGAAATTTTTCACTTTTTCTTTTTACACAAGAAGATAATAAGAGATAGAATGAGTTGAAATGAAATACTAAAATAAATAAATAATATCATGATTCATTTAAATTCTAAGAATATATATATATATATATATATATATATATATATATATATATATATATATATATATATATATATATATATACACACGTAAAACTTACATGTGGTGTGAAGTTATTTTCACTACTCATTTGACCTTTTTTAATAGGTATAAAACTTATAAACATGTTGATTCCTTGTCAAATATTCATTCATTGCTGTTTTATTATTACCATATAATATGTTCATTATTTTTCATACAAGTATTGATTGTTTGTAACACACTTCAAGATTGGTAGTAAAAATAAACCATTGATAAGTATTTGACAAATGACAACTATTCAACTTAGTGACATGTAATTAAGAGTAAAAGTAGACACAAGTATGAAAACATATAAAAACGTTGTTCACTTTGATAATTGATGAGCTAAAATTATTGTGCTCTACCATACAAAAAATAAATTGAATAATAATTATGTATCGTTGTTTTATTTTTTGGGTGATTCATGTGAGAAATACGACAATTAAGTCACCAGTGACAAGGGATTATGAGTCTATTTTTTACTTACATAAGCCTTATGAATAGTTCTTGAATGTCGTGATAACAAACAAAGTAACTAAAAATCTTAATTATGTGCATGGATGTTTGCCTAAAAAGTGTTTCATTGTTCAAGTGAGATTGAATTTATATGTGTGCTCATGTTTTTCCATGTCATATATTTAAAATGTTTTCTTTTAATTGTAGTTGTTGATCTTACTTTATTGCCCGATGAACAAATTTTGAATGAAAATCAACTTGATATGGATGAATTTGTATCCTCGGAAAATCAAGATGACGAGACAATTACAATGGTTGAAGAATTCTCTTCAGGTATTTGAATATTAAAAAGTATCTTAAACCTTTTTTTTTTAATTACAGTTTTTAAAGGATATTTGAATGATGCACAATAATGTTTAAATCACTAATTGACTTGAATTACATGATCTGATAAAAAAAAAATTTATCGTGTAAAAAAAATATTTTCCTGAAGTTGTTACTTCTTCTCAATGATTTTTTGAGATGGTTATTGTTAAGATCAGTAATAATTATTATTAACATAGGTGATGAATCGACAAATATTAATGATTCAAATTGGAATATGGATTGCTCTACGGTTGTGAGAGTTAAAACACTACACATCAGTTCTCCTATCTTGGCAGCTAAAAGTCCTTTCTTCTACAAGGTAGGTGTTTTTTTTTATATGTTAACCTAATTTGAAAATTATGATAACAATATGTTTGTTTATTTGTATTTTCACAGCTTTTCTCAAATGGAATGAAGGAATCAGAGCAGAGGCAAGTCACCTTGAGAATCAATGTTTCTGGTAATAACACAGACACACATATTAAATTTATATCATTTTCTTTCTTGATTATATTTATCATAGTTTCTGGTCTAATTATCATGCTTCTTTTGCATATTGCAGAGGAAGTTGCTCTTATGGAACTTTTACATTTTATGTATAGTAATACCTTAAACGTTACTTCACCACTTGAAATAATGGATGTGTTGATGGCTGCTGACAAATTCGAAGTTGCTTCCTGCATGAAATTTTGTAGTCGATTATTGCAAATTATACCCATGACACCCGAGTCTGCATTGCTTTACCTTGAGCTTCCTTTTAGTGTCTTAATGGCTGATGCAGTTCAACCATTAACTGATGCAGCGAAACAATATCTTGTGGATCGATACAAAGATCTAACAAAGTAAGTTTTTCCGCTTTTATGTAACGTAAAATAATCCCTTGGAGTGCTTATAATAGTTTGACGTGTGAACAGGTTCCAAGAAGAGGCTATGAACTTGCCACTAGTTGGACTAGAAGTAATATTGTCCAGTGATGAACTCCAGGTTGCATCAGAGGATGCTGTATATGACTTTTTGTTGAAGTGGGTTCGAACACGGTACCAAAAAGTAGAAGAAAGGAGAGAAGTTATGGGTACACGACTGGCTCGTTTAATTCGCTTCCCTTATATGACATGTCGAAAGCTGAAGAAAGTTTTATCATGCAATGACTTTGACCATAATGTTTCATCAAAGCTTGTACTTGAAGCCCTCCTTTTCAAGGCTGAGGCTCCATATCGTCAGCGGATACTAGCCGCCGAGTGTAGTTCCTTCAGTCGGATTTGTGTGGAGCGAGCATACAAGTATCGCCCTGTTAAGGTGGTGGAGTTTGAACTTCCACAACAACAGTGTGTGGTTTACTTAGATCTAAAGCGAGAAGAGTGTGCCAATTTGTATCCATCTGGCCGAATTTATTCGCAAGCATTCCATTTGGGTGGACAAGGGTTCTTTTTATCAGCTCATTGCAACATGGACCAACAAAGCTCTTCCCATTGCTTTGGTTTGTTTTTGGGAATGCAGGAAAAAGGCTCTGTTAGCTTTGCGATTGATTATGAATTTGCTGCGAGGTCAAGACCAACAGAGGAATTTGTGAGCAAGTATAAAGGCAATTATGTTTTCACTGGGGGAAAGGCTGTTGGCTATAGAAACTTATTTGCTATTCCATGGACAACCTTCATGGCTGAAGATAGTCTATACTTTATCAATGATGTCCTCCACCTTAGAGCTGAACTTACCATCAGACATTGATTCAGTTTTATATCTCTAACTTTTTTTTTCTTCTAGTTCGTAGCTCTTCCTTCTTGTAATCTTAACTAATACCCAAATATGTATGTTAGATGGTTAGTGCGATATCATATTAAAGATTTGTTAGAAATATTTTCCTTTTACCCATAATTACGAACGACAACAAAATTTACATCTACATATTTTTGCCTGGAAGATTCACAGAATAGGCTCTTTTAAACGTGGATAACCAACATTTTAATCATCACACCAAAAATTTGCAACTACATGGAAAGAAATAAATTGAGAAACATAGAAGGTTTCAAAAGGAATAATGATAAGAAAATTGAAATTATTAAGAGTTACGTATCGATAATAAAAGAATCAAAATAAGAAATGATTTAAGTAATGAATTGAAATGTATTGGGATTAACTCTCAATTATGTGTCTAAAAAATTTAAATTAGTGAAGTTCATCTTATCTCACTTAATCTAAGTGGAGAGGGGTCCCTTAGGTCAGAATATAGAGAGTCTTGTAGCATTTGGAAAAGATAAGAGAAAAAGAAAAGAAACAATTTTGCTCATTTACTAAGTCGTCCATGTAGAATTATGTAAAATTACGATTGTCGCTTAATTTACCATTGAATTAGTTCACCATTGGATCGATCTGAAATATTTTGACAACATGTTCGTAGCATAAGAGTCTTTATTTTGACCATTGGGATACTAGTCTCACACACACTGTCATTGGTTTTAAGGTTTTTTTTTTCTTTGTTTTCCACGCCAAAAATATCAATGTTTTGTTTCTCACATATTCTCCTAAAGGTTTCTTTTGTTTGTTTTTCACACGCCAAAAATATTAGTGTTATACTCCTCACGTATTCTCGTAAGTTTAGGAAAATTATTTTTATTGTATAATTTGATATTTTAGGTTATTGTGTTGTTTTTTCCTATTAAAGAGCATCAAAATAATTTAAACAAATGAGAAGCCAATCAAACTTTGAAAATTGAAGAATCAGGAATGTCAAGTCCAGGGTTGCTAATCGAGAGAATCAAGACATTAAGATGAAGTTATGCAATTAAGAAATATACATAAATGATTATGGGTTATAAGTATTATGTGACAACAAAATTACTTTAAGTTATGCAATTGAGAAATATGTGGAAATGCTTCCATCACATGACAAATGCACTTATAGGTATTACATGTCAACAAAATGACTCGATAAAAAAGGGAAAATGGTTATGACTCAAAAAAAAAGGGGAGAATGGTTATAAGAATGCAATGTTGATTTTATTTTTTATTTTTGTGTATTTTTTTTCATTTTTGTGTTTTTTTTTTCATTTTTGTGTATTTTTTTTCATTTTTGTGTAATTTATCTTACTTTACTTTAAAATTTTATCTTCACTTTTATTATTTTAAAATGTCTTAGCAGTTACACAATAAAAATATAAATAAGATAAAATAAATGTAAAAAGATGATAGTTAAATTATACGAAAAAACTTATATTTGGAAAAATAAACAAAGGATAAATATGAAATTTTTTGTAATTTAAATCGCAATCTTTATCGATTTCCTTTATTATTTTATATTTGATAATGAGTTAGATTTACTTTTATGTAATTTAATTTTTTTCTTGTATATTTATCTTTTATAGCATGTTTATTTTCTAACAATTTCTTCTCTTTTGAACTTTTACTATTTTCGTAATTTACTTTAAATATTACAAATTAATCTAAAAATCCAAATTATGTAGACAATTATTAATTAAAATTAATTTTATACTAATTATGCAATTATTGATATTATTCCATACATATCCTCTAAATTTGAAATCACTAGTAAAAATTAAAGAAAAATCAACATGCTTAAATGATTCATTATCTACTTAGATAATAACTATCTAATTTATCGAACAAATATTTTTATACTAGAAACACGAATACAATAATATCTATAGTTTTGGATAAGTACTCTCATTAGTGCCTTTTATTTAAATAATTTTTAAATTAAATGATTACCATAAAATAATTAGTGAAGTAAAGAGTTCTATGGAATTTAATTGTATATTTTTTTTTTATTTCGACTTATGAAATTAAAATTATTTTTAAAAAATCAATGTTATTTAAATTTATTTATTTTTTTCAAACTTTTTGAATTTATTTTCTCAATAGACTATTTTTTTTATTAATATTTTAAGATGTAATTTTATTTAAATCATATTTAAAAATGATTCTTTTAATTGAATTTATATTTAAAAAATAAATTTAAAATATTCTTTAAGAATAAAAAATTAAAAAAAATATACTTATGAGCATCTATGATACTTGTTAACTAAGGAGAGTAATCAAACTTTTTAGATGGAATGGTTATTAAGAATCTAGGGTGTCATTACTCTGGTAAAAGATCTTAATCTTCACTATTTTTATAATCTAATAATTAAAATAAATTATTATATTGTCAAAAAATAAATAATAAAATTAAAAAATATATTTAAAAATCTTATTTTTTAAATTAAGATATATATATATATATATATATATATATATATATATATATATAAATCTATTTACTTTAAAAAAATACGAATCAAAAACTTATTCTCATCATTATCTAATGGTATATTAGATTATACGAAAATAATAATCAAACTAAAAAAATGTCAAATTATTATTTATAAAGTAAATTGATTTATTTATTTATTATATAATATAAATTTTAAAATTATATATGTGATTATTTATTTCTTATACTGTATTTGGTTAGTAAGGGTGAAATGATATGAATAGAAGGAAGGAAAAAGAAAGAGAAAATAAGGAGAATTAAATTATTTTCGTAATAATTTTTGTAGGGGTTAAATATTTTGAATTTGTGAACAATATTGATTATATAAATTATTATTAATTTGAATATGACAATTTGATAAATTTGTTTATCTATTTAAAATATATAATTATAAGTTAATTTATATTTTTTTCTCTTGATTTATCTTTATCTATAGACAGTTGAATTTAAAAAAAAATTAAACAGGAATTTGTGTCTTCTCTTATTCTCTTTTACATTAAATATATTTATTTATTATTCATCAAAGTTAGTTCTTGAAATACATTCGTGAAGGTTATAAAAAAAGGTGAAATGTCAAATCGTGATATCATAAAAGATATATATTATTAGTTTGTGGGTGATAAATAATAAAAAATAATAATTTAATATCAAATTTATTTTATAATGCCTAAAAAAATGAGATGAGAATTTTGCATCTCTACCATAGGTAACCAACTAAACATCATCTATCTTGCAGGTATGAATAACTCTCTTGACAACTTAACCTTCTAATAATATAAATGAGATCCATGGAATAAATTGGAGGTTAGTTTTGAATATTTTATATGATTTTATATATATAATTATTTTAATGAAATATCATAATATAATAATTATAAAAATCAAATAAATAATTTAATATATTTTTTATTTGTTTATAATATGATATTATTTTATTAACTTAATTTTAAATAATTCTAGAAAAAAATAATTGTCTAATAAAAAGTATTTCATAATCATAAATGAAAATATATATGTTAAAAAATAGATATATAATTTAAAGATAATATTTTAAAAAATTATTTTATGAAAAAAAAACTAATTAATAATATCATGAATAAAAACACTTTTAATAATTATTTAATTTTAATTTTTTAAAATAAGTACTTTATTTTTTCGTATATATATATATATATATATATATATATATATATATTAAATGAATAAAAATACTTTATTTTTTCCTCATCCTTCTTTTTTTCTCTTACTTTCATTCTATATTAGTCAATTATAGTCTTAAATATACAATAAAAATATCGACGGACATAGAGTCGTATTGTATCTCTTGCTAAAAAGGAAAGGAAATTTGGTATTTTGTTAGGATATGGAATTGGATTCCAGTTCTTAATCAACGGATACATGAGATAATTAAGTAATGAATAAGTTCTATATATCACCTTCAACCTTTCCCTCGGAATAATGACTTTTTTCAAATACCAAAAAAACTTTCATTGCCTTCTTTTGGGGATTTTATTAATCTGAGCATAACTTTTTACTTGTTATTTACACCTTTTTCATAATAGCAAGCAATACTAAAATGAACAAATATTTTATTCATTATAGTTTTTATATTATTATTCAATTATAATTATCAATTCTGATATTTTTTCTTATAACTGCTAATTTATATGATATCTAATTTTCCTTTTTCCTCTAAGTCTGTGTTAAAATTAAACTCTATCAGAACTAGCAAAACATTTCCATGGAAAATACAATCACAAAAGGAATCAATATAGATTAGTTTAGACGCTTACTTCTTGTGCGTTGGAAAATAAAAATTGTAGTTATTCGATTGTCTGGGGAACGAAGGCCTTATAAATTTGGGCTGGATCATTTTCTTTTTAGGTATTCTATTATGTTTTAATATAAAATAAAATGCAATCAATTAAATATTTTTAGACGACATCATTAAATAGAGTAAAAATAATTTAAATTGACTTATAGGATACATGTTTTTTTTTCTTCTCTTCTTCATATTTAAATTTTAAGAAAATAATAAGTTTATTGATTAAAAATATTAAAAAACTGAAGTGATAATATTCCAAAAAAAAATTTAGCTCGCTACACGTTTGAAGTGGAAATACAGATGGGCAAAGAGGAAACGGAGCATGAAAGCGAGTTTTGGGGAATATATAAAAGGTAAAGAATAGGGTGTGGGATTAAAATCACAACACAACACCACACGGCACTCACTTTATCATCTGTGTTGTGTTGGGAGGAGAAGGGAGAAAAGAAAAGGATCGAAATCAACAAAGAGATAAGAGAGGGGTTAGGGTTAGGGTTTTGAGATGCCGAAGAATAAGGGAAAGGGAGGTAAGAACAGGAAGAGGGGAAAGAACGAAGCGGATGACGAGAAGAGAGAGCTCGTGTTCAAGGAGGACGGCCAGGAGTACGCCCAAGTCCTCCGCATGCTCGGAAACGGTCGCTGTGAGGCCATGTGCATCGACGGCACCAAGCGCCTCTGCCACATCCGCGGCAAGATGCACAAGAAGGTCTGGATCGCCGCCGGCGACATAATCCTCGTCGGCCTCCGGGACTACCAGGACGACAAGGCTGACGTCATCCTCAAGTACATGCCCGACGAGGCTAGACTCCTCAAGGCCTACGGTGAACTCCCCGACACCACGCGCCTCAACGAGGGTATCGGTGCCGGTTTGGACGAGGAGGACGACGCCACCGCCAACGACTACATCGAGTTTGAGGATGAGGATATCGATAAAATCTAATCGCCACCGCCACCTCCACCTCCACCTCCATCACAGTTGTTATCCGTACAATAATTATATATCTCTAGTATTTGTACTTCTATTTCTATTTGCTTCCTTGCAGCTCTCATCACTTTACATCTCTGTGTTGGATTTTATTTTATCATGCGCTATTGTTCAATAACTCAGATATTTCCGACTGTCATGTCATGTCATCCCATTTTTGTTTCATTATCATTTTGCTACTGCTACCCCTGCTCTGTATTTCATTTGCATGCTGTTTAATTAGAGCTTCGTGGTTTGGATTGTTAGTACAAAATATAATTGGAAAAAAAGTTGAAGGGATTGGTCTGTTTTCCGTGTCCTGATAAAGGTTTTACTTGCTGTTGCGGTTGCGATCTTTGATATTCTGGTGAATTGTAGCCTACGCGGACATGATTGTGGTTGCAGAGTTGTTCTAATAACCGTTGTGGAATATTTTAAAACCTTGTTGTTCCCGATGATTGCTTTTGCTTGTGGTGGTTTTGCCTATGTTTACTGTTGTTATGGTTTTATGTTGGGATGTGGTGCATATGGGGATTGTGTAATTGTCTTGTTTCACTTGCTTAGGTGTATGGATGTCTGATAGAGAGTACAGTGGATTCGGGTAGAAGGGATGGACATTAATTTAATCGGGTTCCGTTCCATACTATCCTAGATTGAAGGATATTAATCATGCATATTCTAAGCTATTCTACCCCTTTTTATCTATCCAATTAGAGTCTTAGGCTTTCGTTCATAGACTTCACTTTGTATATGGCCGACAGATATCAATTAAAGTTGAGCAGAGCATATATTATAAGTCTTATTGGATTATGGATAGTCAGTCATCTGAGAATGTATATCTGTCTGTCGGATTTGTCTATCTTTTCTCACCTTCCTGTCAGTTATGTGGGTGGTTTTTCTGTGCTACTATCTTATATATATTTTTTATAGGTTATGTGAATAGTATTTGATGTGACAATTCTGAAACATTTGTTGACATAGAAGGTATCTGTACAGCATGCTTGGCTGCGGGAGAAGTGGAAAAAGTTGTGTACTTTTATTTGATAGTTTAAGAAGGGGAAAGGGGGTAGATGGCATGTATCTTGGCTATATGGTCATCTGCACATGTCAAAACAATCCTTCAAAAGCAATGCTTCTAATTGCCTTGGTGTTCAACTCCCTTGTCTTATTTTATTCCTCATCATCGGCTCTCTGCAATACACTCCCATTTACGCCAACTCCAACCTCTATCAAATCATTGAACTTAGAATGTGTAATCACGGGTAATAGGAAGTGTTTGCACATGTAAGGTTTGAAATTTGGATCATGTTTGAGTTCTTAGTTGAACTCCCAACAAAAATTAGATTATTATTTGCCTGATTGAAATTGTGTCAAGATTGGTGTAATAGGATATTTGGAATTAAATCGAGTACTAATCATTTACATTTTGAAGATTTATCATAAAACTAAAAGGATTAAGAATTTTGAAAAGCAGGTACTTCAGAGAGACACGCACCGTTTTTCATTTTGAGCTATATTGTTTACCAACACATAATATAGATAACGGGGTTTCACCTAGACGCTACCAACTCGGGCAGATCACTCATCTTTGATTTTTCTTCTTCCCTATCAACCCCCTCCATAGACGGTAATTGATTTCAATTATTTTTTCTTCTGAACTAGTACATTTCAATTTACTTTTCCTTATTATTTAATATGACAAATAATGTTTATAGAAAAAATTAGATCTACTTTCAAATTGAGGATATATAGACACTTTTCATTTTTCTTTTTAAATTCATTCGAGTTATAGCTTGGTCCCACTATTGGATTCAATTTTGTTGTTTTAATTGAAAACTATGTCTATTTGTCTGTGCTTAAGAATCCTACCATCGGAATCCTTCTTTCTTCAAATGAATGAGGGAAATGTTTTAACTAAAAAGGAATTGAAAGGGTACATTTTATACACAACTAAAAGTTTTAACAGAAATGACAATAATTGGTTTTGGGCAATTGATATATGTAGTAGTCATGCACAACTAAAAAAGTAATGGCAAACTGAATGAAGACAGCACTTGGTCTTCCCGATTCATTAAGGCAACCTCATGGAATCTTAATCTGATCAACTTAACTGATTGAGCCAAAATCAAATTTTAATGTTCAGGTAAAAATCATGTTACTTTTGTCAAAAGACGCAGGCAGCTACAGTTTGTGCTTCAAAATGTATACGTACAATCTAAGAAACGCGGACAAAACACTGCCATCAAACTAGATATAAACTACGCTTATTAATGTAGAAGCACGTACAATCTACGGAACGTGAGGGAATCTAATAAAAGGTCAAATTATGGTAACTTGAACCGCTGACGGGATGGTTATGTTACATGTTTAGGAATACATTGCCCCTTGGCAGGTAATGGACTCCACGATGATCTTCATCCACTTAACCATGTAAAATTACGACGATTCCATTGCTGTTTACAAACCTAGGTTGATTCTTGACATATAGTGGTGATATGCATTGTGCCTCATCAGAGTTCGATACCGTTGCAACTACTGACATTCCTATGTTTCTCATCACAAACTTGTCTGGCAGAAGGAAATGAGATTTTGCTAATGCTAGCTCTACGGCGGGATTTCTGCCTCTCCATCCTTGCTTCAAGCAGTTTTGCCATCAATGTGTCGTTGTCCTTAATAGGCAATTTGGAACAAGACTCAGACTTGTCAAAATCTGGGACAATCAATGTAGATTTCCACTGTTTTACTGGACTGCCATTACCAGTACGTGCAGAGTGAACAAGTACGTCTTCCCTGAATATACTCTCTGGATAAACCTTATTATCATCGCCTTCAGAAGACAAGGAACTGTTTCTAACTACATAACTTGAATTCATTCTCTTTGTCCACAATAATGCATTACTTTTTGGTGGACCTTGTGTTGCCTCACACACAGTTGATGCCCCAGGGGTATTAAATAGCATTGTGCTGTCCCCTCCAATTTCACTTGATTTCCTCTCAACAAACCAACTCTCATTTTCATCACATGACACGTTCTTCATCATTCTTGTTTGCAACTCACAGCAGTCCTCAATGATTTCCTTGGACTGAACTTGTTTCCTAAGAGAATTGTGCCTTCCTTTCTTTTCTCTATGGACCTCTGCAGTATTGTTGTTGTTCATTTTGGAGCCAAGTTTGTCCAGTCCTTTGTCTGAAGTTCTTTTATGCTCTAAAATGTAGGCACCAATGGAGTCTTCTTCAGCCACATTCAGAGGTGCCCTTATGGCCTCCTTCACTGGAAAGGAATCCAGTGAATGTAGGCAAGGGTAAATTTCCTTTGTCTCCTTTGTGGAGGAGTTACCATATCTTCTCAAGTTAACAGATCTTTTTGCATGAAGAAATGTTTCAATGTCAACACCTAACTTGTCAACAATTGATGAATCAATTTCTGGGAGATCATGGGCAGCTTGAACTAACTTCATTTGCTTGCGCTCATCAAGCCAAGCTTCTGATAGATGAAGAATTAGCCTATCAAAGCTATCTCCTTTAACCTGAGCTTGACCCTGCTCACAATTATTATGCATAAGAGAACGTACCTCATACTCATAATCTCTTATGCCTTTGGCAAAATCATCACACAAATTCTCTAAAAGGATCCGTGTTTTTCTCTCTTTTTCAAGATCTATCAGAGAACCATTGAATGAAGACTTCACTTCAGAAAGCTCCCTAGCCAGCCTCCGATGCAGGCTTTCTGAATGCTTTCTTAACCTCCTTTCATCTTCCATCTCTTGCATGACAGATTGAATTGAAGCTTTAATTTTATCATGCTCTTTGTTCTTCCTGACAAGCTTCTCCTCAGTTATTTGCTTCAATAGGTTCTCCATTTCATGCTCATTCAATTGATTTTCTTGTTGTAACTCTTTAACCTGTGCTCGAGAAAGATCTAGTTCCCTTTTTAGGGCTTTCACTACTGATAGGTTTGACGCATGCTGTTCTTCAAGACACCAGATATGGTTGAGTACCTTGAGTAACTCTCTGGATGTTTTAGGGTTGCGACTTGACTCTGTAATCCAACCCTTGAAGTATCTTAGAGGATGATTATACTGTGCAACCTGTTTTGAGCAAATTGCATATTCAACTTATTATACCAGATACAAAGTGAAAATAGGCATCGTTTTAAAAATGATCTGATCAACAGACAGTTTTTAAGATATGTATTAAAAATATCACAGAAGGATCATTGACAACATATTCAATAATCCATTTCAGTGCCTTAATAGAAAACCAAGAAACCACAAAGTCATATATGTCTCCCTGAAAACTGAAGAAATTATTGTAAAATTACTGTCGTTGGTAAAGAAACAAAGGTATTTAATGAAAATAAAATTAAATAGTAGTGTTAATCTGTTAGTGTTAGTAACATCTTAAGACTAATAGAACTGCTCACAATTCGAATAACACATACACACACTTACTTGCATTGAACTACTGTGACAAGGAGGGGATACAGGCTGTTTAGTGCGACCATTTCTAGCTGATCTATGGTGTTGGACCAGTGATGTTCGAACATGTCTTGTCAAGCCCGTAACGGATGCTGGCTGCAATGAGGGACAAAGCAAAGACCAGCAACATAAACATATAAAATGCCATGAAAAGAGACAAAGAACACGAGTACTCCTCCATTAAACAATAGTATTCAAAATGCTTCAGCAAAATTGACTCGAGCAATTTGAGTGTTAAATCTCGGTGTCAACAATTCTGTTGCACTACATGATCAACTTAAGAAGTTAAAGGTAGCTCCAAACGTAATTGCATTATAGACTAGTACCAGCAAATCATGAGAAACGGCGTGAGTTGAAGTGTGGAACGGAGCTAAATTAATGTGATTACACTGAAGTACTGAATCACTTTCTGGCCACATAGAAATGCAGACATGTGGATGTTGAATACTAAATCATTTTTCTTTTTAAGAACCTTCTTCCCAAATTGCAGATAGATAAGGACCTTCATTAATAAGGGATAATTGATGTAGAAAATAGAAAGTTAGCATGTGTCTAAAATTTTTTGGGATTCCTTAAATGATGAGAAGCAAGATCTAAAAGAACACGAGAATATGCAGAATCAATCATAAATAAGAAAAATGAAATGGAACCGAAGCATCTACTTGACAATACACATGCAATTGTAAAATACAACAGAACTAAAACGAAGCCGAGAGAACAAACCAACAAATGCAAAAACGTGTTTTCTTGGGGGATAAGTAAAAAATTTCTCTATCCAACAAAAAATAACCAAAAACATACATATAACTTACAAAGCCGAAGGTAAAGTTTCCGATTTTAGGTGTAAGATAAAAATGGGAAGAAATTAAGCAAAGGAGTATTTAGTCAAAATGTTGAAGGTAACATGAAAGATGGGAAACTAAGCTCATTAACAAATTAAAAACAGGAGACAGGAAGAGGCGGTGAAAGAAAATCAGAGAGACTAGTATAGAAGCAAATCATATATGAAAAATAAAACTGAAAACTTGTTTCAAGTAAGCAAAAGCTATTAGAGCACAATGATGCAGAAACAAAGAAAGATATAAGGAGATGCAAGAGAAGCTGAGATCATTAGACTTCACTCACCATGTGACTATGAGGAGGCTGAGACATATGTTTAAGATTCGAAACCTTGAGAAGTGTGTCCCTACGGTGGCGGCGGGTGAGTGGAGGCTTGTTCATTTTGGGAAGTGGGGCCTGTTGGTGGGGCTGAATTTGCCAGAGTTTGGCACAGAGTTTTCTGGCAGAGAGTGTTGTTGAGGTGGGAAAGTTGAGGAACTCTTGAACCTGGTTTCTATTTTTGCTTTTGTAGTTACCATTATTCTTATTTTGCTGAGAGGGAAACTCAAGTCTCCATATGGGTGGGGGAGTTGAAGGGCCTCCTCTTTTCCCCACAACAATCCCTCCTTTCAACTTTTCCACCATTAACCCTTCCCTTTCCTCACCTTTTTCTCTTCTTTCCATCTTCCTATTCCTTCCTTCTTCTCTCAATTTTCAACACTCCAACTTCAAATTTTAAACTTCATTTTTTTATTCCTTTTTAACTGTGAGATTGAAGTGTTTTCTTCTTGTTTTTCTTTCTAACTTGACAGTGTCATGTCACCCCTCAAACTCCAACAACAAGTGAACTCTGAGTGTTACAAAGTCAGCTTTCTCTTCTCCCTCAGACATTGAGCCACGTCAACACACGATTCAGACATGGCTCCACTTTCATTGGGCCCTTATCCCAACACCTTAATTTTGTCGTCCTTCTGTCTTGTCTACTCACTAAATTATTGTTACTCGCTTTTTTTTTTCTTTTTTTCCCAGTCTCCATCGAAATTCCTCGATCTTTATTACTTAAACCTATATTAAAACAAAAGGAGAACAATAACTACATTTAACGTAAGAGTAAAGAGTGTGTAATAGATTTAGGCTTATGATTTTGTCAAGTTATACTTTTTTTTTCCAACATTTTTTTATTTAACTCAAAATGCCATGTTAAAGAATTTCAAATCGTGACAATCTTATTTTTCTCTCAAAATGCAATTGTGACATGTGTAAATTCACAGCTCTTGATCAAGAATTCAATATCAATATTCCAGCAGAAATAAAATATTCAGATATATTATATAATCAATTTTTCCATATTTTAATTGAAAATTAAGAGTTTATTATTGTAGCAGGATTTTAACTGTAAAAATCAACACGTTTATTATTTATGATCGAACAATAATATAAAACTTCTTCAAATTGTTTGTGCAAACACCATTCTCTTTTTTTTTTTATTCTTTTCAATATGACAAGCTATGGACACTGGTTAAAAAGTTAAAACAGATTATATATTTTTTTAAAATACGAAAATATGTGTCTTCTAGTAAGAACCTTTTAATATTCACTTCTCCCTTTTTGTTATAAAAAATAGTCTAGAACATATTAAAATACTATAGAGAAACATAGTTTTACATCTCAATGAAAAAAAAAAGTAATTTTTTTAATCAATATCCTAAAAACATTGGTTAGTGTTTACATGTTAATTAATAATAAGTAAGACTACTGTGGTTATGAAAGTGTTTGGGCATCATCATCATAGCTTTGAAAGACAAACAAAACAAGCCATGAGACCAGCAAAGGGCGGAAAGAAAAAAATGGCAAAAAGCCTAAATTTAAGAGGTGAAAAAACCTGGACCAGAAAAGAAAGGTGAAAAATTGAAATTGTCATTTTGCTTTCTTTCATGGCAAGCTAATCTAAGCTACGCCTACAAAATGTACTAAGTATAACATAACATCAAAAGGGCCATGAATTTGTTCAAGACTACATATATTATGCATGTAATTATTACTAAATATGTGGTGAAGGGCTTTAAAACCTTTAAGCATGCGTTTTATGGGATGTCGCAAATTGCAGTGAGTAGTGACGATGAATCTTTGGACGCACGCATGTTGTCCTAATCAATCCACAGATATGGGGCTCCATCTACACACAGAAAGGGTCCACAGACGAGTGTAGAACTTATTGTCCATTATGAACATCAAGTAAGCTTGTGGTCCATCTTTCCTCCCATCTCACGCCATGTCTTGGAATTTATTCCTCCACTATTATTTTTCAGTGATTTGTACCTATTCCATACTAGAATTTAATTTAAAATAGAACATAGTTGAATACTTTTTGGGAAAATGGAACTGAGACTTCCTTTCACATACTTCAATATTGGGGCTTAACCATGCATGCATCATTAAAGGGTGTTATGACAGGTTTCATTACAATTTTCACCCATGCACGAGTGTGCCATTGCCCTTGGGGCTAAGACCATAGTACGACCTGCACTTTGTTTTTTATCTTACTATCAATAAAAATGACAAATATATACTTGCTCACCATGTCAGTTGGTTCATTGGACAGCTTATAGCTGCTGACAATGCATCTAATTGAATTTGGTACATGAAGTTAATACTGATAGGTAAATTAAATATCACAATAGCATATTTTTTTCGTATTTGGACCAGTATTTTTGGGTTTCATTTCCCTTAAACTGGTTGTGTTCCAAAAACCTTATTGTTACATTAACAATATGGATATTCATATCCGACATTGGTGTTTAATGGTGTAAAACGTTTTCTTTTCACTTCTCAGTATCCTCTCTCTGCTTCCTACCGACTGTCAAAAGTTATTGGGAGCCAGGAAAGTTATCATGTCACGTAGTTGATGTAGTATACTGTTTTTTAATTTTCTCTATTCAGCAATTGGAGTAAGAAGGCGAGCACTAAGTCAATTGAATCTATGGTAACTTACTAGCAACATCAAGCTAACAAAACTGAGCAAATTTAATAGCCCTTATCATGGTAAAATAGAGGATGTGAACCGTGAACCTCATGCACCTTCTGGTTTTACACTTTATAGTTAAAATCAATTTGAAGAATGCTGATGCTCCTTGCTTAGTAAGGTTAAGTTGTATGTTGAGTGCCGTAGCTTAATTTGCAGAAAGTGCAGTATGCTTGAGTCAAATAAGAGGCAACATAAACACCTTTAAATTATGCAGAGTCGTAATAGTTTCCAAATCATTCGACAGTGATTAGTGAATTCACATTTAAAACAAATTTCTGCTTACTTCGAGAAAATATTTTTATTTTCACTTTAACCACAAAATAATCACTTTATGTAAATCAAAATAAAATTCATTAACCTGAAGTTTGAATGTGGACCAAATATACTCTTCAAATGCTACTTTGTAAATGTCTATTACTTTGGACTAGTACTTTCTTAATAAAGAGAGTTTAAAAATTCTGAAAGACAGGACATACAGCAAAAACTTTCGAATATTCATCCTACTTTTTTTATCGATCATGCCACGTAAACTCGAGGTAACAGATGAAGTTTTACCAAATTACTTGACATCCTGAAAATGGTATCGTGAATCAGGTTATGTTTCATAATTTTTAAGTGCTTGTCGCCAATAAAGTATGCAGAGGCAAATTTTACTTGACCTGCAGACAATACATAAACAAAGACCGAAGAGTTTCAGACATATTACATGGATAAGTTTTAGACAAAGTATGTACGTCCTACGAGGGCAAAAGGGGCTACTGTAAAGTTACTTAAACCAGGACGCACTGCAAAAGCTTTACATGGACTTTGGTACAAAGCCAATGCCATTGATAGACCCTGGTACATCCTGGCGTGAATGCCACTGGTGCAGCACCACTGAATAATACAACAAAATATCAAACAAATTGAAGTGTTTCTTCTTACATAAATTTACCGTGAGAATATATATATCTCAAGATCCTTGAGTATGACCTTCAGCTTGAAGGAGGTTAATTTGTGAATATCAAGCAGTGACATGTTCTTTTGGTACTAAGTTACCAATGAGCACTCAGACTCAGACCCGTGAGATCAGAAGGAAAAAGAAATTCCTTAGACGATGAAACACGCAATATCCAATTATATTGCTACTTTTTCAGATGTAGAAGAAACCAAATAGTAACAAAATAGGTTTCTATTATAAAAAGCTTTACAAAGGATTAATTAGTGTGTCACCATTTTATCCTAATAGAATCTAGGAAAGGTCCCACCAAGGAGGATGGAAGGGGGGAACAAGAACGGGTATAGGATGTCCACTAGAGGGCGTATTGAACTCCCCCACACAGAAAACTTTTGTAAACAAATTTCAACCAAATGGGCTAACATTTTTCCTATCTTGTTTCACTAAAATTCAATTTCAGACCCCCTAGTTGTAATCCACACACCGTCAACCCTCTCGCTTTTAAAATGATTTAGTGGTGTCCTTTTAACATACATTCTAAAACTGGGGAAAAAAAGCCAGACTCGTGGATCATAATTAGTTATAACAGAATTTATCACAATAAAGCATACAAATTTCCTAGCTAAGTTTGACTATGGAAAATAAAATTTTGACAAAACTAAGCATAATGTTTGATTTTATGTTTGTTTCGTACACAATCATGATAAATATTTGGGTCATTTCATTTAGGTAAATGATTAGATATTTATAGTCCCACGTTAAATAATTGATTTTGAATTGAAACAGTTTTAGCTAACTTTTTGTTTAATCGATATTTTATATTGATTTTACTACTAACTTGCTTTTAGAATAAAAGCATCCCAATATAAATCACTTCAGTTCGAAATTTTACAAACCCTGAAACACTCACCCAAATACATGCTGCTAAATATTCTACAGTAAAGATCTAATTAAGTGCCCAACAGTACAAGAATAGGACTGCACCTCAAAGATTGACAAATCAAATGCTCTTCTCTGCAAGCCCATTCAATTTTTCCAAATTTGCTTCTCTCCATATTGCTCTCACTTCATCTGTCCGAAACCGCTGGGTGAATGTAGAATCCTCTAGTGGTGTCGATGCACCATGAGCAAATTCAAGGAGACCAGTATAAGCTATCATTGCTCCATTGTCAATGCAATACCTATCATCAGTAGCAAACAATCTTCCACCACGTTCAGAGCACATGATTCTCATCATCTCTTGCAACCGTTCATTGCAACCTACACCACCAACTATAAGAACATCTTTTGTGTCACAATGAGCCATAGCCCGCTCCGTTATCTCCACAAGCATTGCAAACAGTGTCTCCTGCAACATACTAAAATACATCAACTTACAGATTCATCGTTCATTAATTTATATAACAGGAGGGAAAGGAATCAGCACAAATTAAATTCACCTGCAGTGAGTAGCACAAATCTGCAGGCGTGCACTCATTATTCTTTAGCTTTTCAACAGCAGTTGCTTCAATATAGCTCAATATACCACTAAAAGATACATCCATCCCTTTGACAACATAAGGGAGGTCTATAAACTTCTCTCCTTTTTTTGCAAGCTAAAGAATAAGAAAACTGCATAAGGCATGTTGAGATATATTTCAAAGCAAAGGTAAGCCAATTCCATTTAAAAAAAAAAAAACAAAAATAGCCCATATATCATATCATTCCCTTGGCACAAACTATTTAAAAACATATTCAACCTAGATTAGATAAATTTCTCTACAAGTACAGAATAAGAAAATATAATAAATTAAGATGATACTATAAGCTAACATCAACTTATGAAATCGTAAAATTCTTTCATTTAAGCTGTTCAAATAACCGGGCGGCATAAATTGACTTTAACTGTAAGAAAAATTCAATTCATTTTGTCTTCTCATTTTTTCCTCATAAAAGCACTTACATTAATTTTCTTTCCTCATAAGTATTCAGGGGATAAGTTTATTCAAATAAAGATTTGATAAGGCACAACCTGCTCAATGTTATACCCGGGGCTTGGATCATTGGAAAGAGTCAAGACCCTTGCAAAGCGATCCAAGCAATTTCCCACAGCAATGTCAATGGTCTCTCCAAAAATTCTATAACGCCCCTCGCTGTAAGCAATGACCTGAGTGTTGCCACCACTGACATACAAGACAACAGGGTCATCAGCGCCGGTTACAATCCTTCCCATCTCAATGTGTGCGACACAGTGATTAACAGCAACAATTGGCTTCTTCCAAAGCTGTGAGAGCACACGAACAACAATAGCAGAGACTTGCAGAGGAGCTCCCATGCCAGGACCCTTTGTGTAGCAGAGGCAGTCAATGTCCTGAGGAGTGAGTTTTGCGGTTTCCAAAGCGGATTTGACGAGGGGAAGAACATGCTGGAGATGGTGTTGTGCAGTCTCTCTGGGGAGAAAGCCTTGACCAGGAGGAGTTATGTATGTGTGGCGTGGGTTTGACAGGATAGTGCCATCTAAGGTTACTACACCAACACCAATCTTGTTCGCTGAACCCTCAAACCCCAAAGCTATCATTCTCTTCATCTTCACTCTGGGGGGAAAATAAAAAATTAAAAACTGTAATATTTTGCTATTGATTATGCTAGGTTCTGTAATAAAAAATTCCAAAAGAAAAAAGAAGAACAAGATCATATATTTTTTTTTAATCTAGAGTGCAGAAAAGATGAGAAATTGAGATGCTAGACGCAGAAGCTACCATTACCTAGAGCAGCCGGCAGTACGGGATTTGGGATAACTGTTCCTTAAACTTCTGAACGGAACGGGAGGGTTTATATTAGTGTTGGTGATTCTCCTTCCTTTTTCGTATTTTCGTTCCTGGTTGGAGCTAACAAGATTCTCTGTGGACTTTATTCGGCCCGACAAATTTATGGGCTATTTGGTGAAGCTCTAGCAGGCTTTTGTGTGCAAGTTGGGCTCTTACGTTTGTCACTGTTTCCAGTGATTCGGACCTGCTATTTTCACTCTCTTTTTAAAAAAATATATAATTTTCTTTTGTTCCTTTTAATACAAGTGACATGATTACTGAAAATATATTTTTCGTTCTAAAAAATATAGAATATATTGTACTAATCATTAAAAAATTTATGCGTTAGTTGAGTTTATTTAAACTAAAATCTAAATAAATTAGGGATAATATATATATACACACTATGATATAGATTAAAAAAGCTATCGTAATAACTTATTATATTTATCATGTTAAATCTGTTTTTAAGAGATAATTATCTAATACATTTTTTTTTCAATCAATCGAACATTATTTGATATTTTTTTGAAATGAAAAAACATATTTTATCTTCACTTTTATCTCTTATTAACATTCATTATTAGTAATAATGATGACAAATGATACATAAACTTTGTGTACCTAAAAAATATCCATAAATGAGTAAATGTCCATTATTTAATAGATATGAATGCGGGTAAGAGTATAGGTACTATAATACCAAACTTGTCACGCACCACTCTCTCAATATATAATAATTTATTTATATGAATAATATTTTATATAACTAAATTGTATTTAAAAAATTATATCAGAGAATTATGTATTTGTGATATATATTTTAATGACTTAATTATTGTCTTTTTCTTATATTTTAATTTAGGGTTTATTTTCTTGTTATCCTTATATTTATATATTTTATATTTATTTGAATCTTATTATGTTTTAGGGTTTATTTTCTTTTTTATTTTTATCTTTATATATTTTATATTTCTTTTTATCTCGTTGTCTTTGTGTTTATTTACATTTTATTTTAAGTTTTACTAATTCTTTTTATCTTCATCTCTGTATTCTTTTTTTTAGCGGTTACTTTTACATTATTTAAAATAAAATATTTAATTTGACAGAATTTGACCAACAAACGATATTTTGAATTAAAATATTTTCTGAAATTTAAAATATTTTTTTTATATTGTAACTTTGATGTACTTATCCGAAGCTTTTATCTTATAAGTTATTATTACGTCATGTATATAAATAACAATACTATTTGGAAATTTTGGAAGAATCATAAATAATACATGAAAATGTAAATATATTATGATATTAAAAGAAAAATATGACATCTCTCTAAATTTCAACACCGATTATTCACATTATCCTTAAAATTTGAATGTAACAATATAATACGATGAAAGAAAAAGAAACCATATTTATATAAAATAAAGAAGACTAACCTATATTAAAGTTATTATTATAAATAGAAACATTAACGACTATTGTACATGGGAAAATTGATACATAAACAAGAAATTAAAAGAAGTGAAATACCTAAGTTCATAAGATTAGGTAGAAATTTTGAAAATCATATTATGAAAAGTCTTTAAGAAAGCCCTCCCTCTGCACACCCACTCCACATTCAAACAATTAAACCAGGTCTCTTCGTTTTGGATTTATGACCTTTTTTCTAAATAATAATATTATACAATTCAAACATAGTGAATAATATAAATATACAAGAAGGATTACTTAGTCTAAAATAATAATACTCATTAATTTAAGTCTCTAATTCTTCAGCTTTAACTTACAAGATTGTAAAATCATAAATTCCTGGTCATATAACAAAGTGAGATGATTTTGATAAAAGCAGAAAATACAATAATTTAAGCTTTCATAAATTGGAGTAGGATGTGACACATATGTTCTGCTGCTACTAATATTGTGCATTGATGACACCCATTACAAGTTACCTACTTTCACAATCACTCGCCAATCCATTCTTCTCTTCCAATCCCAACTAAGAAGCCTTCCTTGTTTATTTAACCTTCATATGTCACATCTCCACCAAAGAAAACCCAACTTTCCCACAGCCATCGTGGACCTCACTTACCTACCAGTGCTAAAAAAATCTTTTATTTTTCCACCTTTTTAATTTACCAAAAATAAAAATAGCCATGTACGGACGACACGCTCAATCACAATATAGAATGTGATATTAGCCTACTATGCCATTGATTCACCAATTAGTCAAAACATAGTTAAGGTCCATAAAAGTCCATTTCAAATCATTAATGAGCCTTAAAGTGCTATGAGGAAATGTTATATTGGTCCAGATTCATACATGCATTACATATTTCAATAAAAAAATTAGAGGAGGTGACAATTGTCAGCAGAGCAGGTGCATGAAAAGAAAGAATAAAAAGGGCAAAAAATAATATATAGCTGTGGTATTTTCAAATGCTATTAATGATATTCCAGTATCCATGAATACGCAGTTTAATCAGCAAGAACATTTTGTATGAACTGTGAAAACACTGAAATCATAATCAATTTTCACTTGAAGAACAATGGAAGAAAATGATTAAAAACCATGGACACAATTCTCAACAGCAGCTGCCAACTGTAAGGAGAACTATGGAGCAATTTCAAGTCTAGGCTCAAAGCAAAAGCCGGTAAAAAGCTGCAGCGGGAATCGTTTTGTTACAGGGCACCTCTGTGACCATTTCCATTGTTTATGGTTCATGTCAAATATGAGAAGTGCCGGAGCTCCGTAACTCTGAATGTATATCAGATCATCTGCACCACTGCTAGCAAAAACATCATCAAACTCTCCAAAGCCTTGGAAGAATTTTTGGGGCATTCGACCAATCTCTTCCCACCTCTTATCATTTAGAAGCCAGATACCAATTCCTTTTATTATGTCCGGTCGATCTGGTTTACCAATTCCTCCCACCATTACAAGTTTCTCCTTCAGATTCATCAGTCGGCCACAAGTTAGAGAACAAGGTACTGGAATAAAGCTCCTTGTTAAGCTACCTTGAGAAGAACGGTTAGACATGTTATATGCAATTAGAGCATGACGATTTTCAGGTTGGCCACCCCCAGTTGAATAAACTAAGAAGTATAGCATCCCATTGCATATCACACTCTCATCACCACCTCTCCACCCCATCAAAACTTCTGTTAAAGAGGTCACCCAAGTTGTGTTCTCTGAATTGTATATATGGATTGAGATATCCCACTGGAAGAAGTTCTCAGGAACTTGTTTAGATTTTACAATTGCCACAGAATAAAAGTGAGACTCCCTGTTGACTGAGATTGCTAATGCACTGTAATCAGAAAATTTCAAACCTGGAGGCTCCTCGAGCTTCCTGTAGGTTTTGGTAATTGGGTTGCAGATGCATAATTCACTTCTGCTGTCATTGTCCATGAAGCAGACCATGCCACATGATGAAGCAATGAACCAATTTGAAGTACCAATGCATGGAAGTTCAATGTTATACCATTTACGAAGAACAGGATCGAAAGCATAACCAACTGGTTCATCAGAGCTTGTAAACATAAAGTACCATGGTTTCTGCGGTAGAACATTGGAAAGGTTCCATAAAAACCTCCCCGAATTAACAATTTCATGCCATCTCTTAGACACACAACCAGCTCTAAAAATGCTTGCAATGGGTAGATAAGCTAGGATTCGTTCCAACAAGTCATCTGGCAAAATGACATCCAAAGAAACAGCAGATGCTTCTTTTTCACCTTCCTCACCAAGTTCTAAAAATGAGTCAAACACCCCGGTCTCCCTCTGTCTGTCATCATAGTGGCTTATCCAAGATGTTTCTCCCGCCATAGGAGCTGGTAGGAAAGACCTAGTGAATATACTAAAGCACAAACGGAAAAAGAGCTGATTATTAAAGCTTCCTAACATCAAATAAAAAAGTGCACATGGATTTTTCCATCTAAGGATATACGATAGAGATATGCATCCTAAATTCAAATTGGACAAGGTGAAGCACTTATGTTATGGACAAAGGGAAGGTGTTTGAGATCATCCAACCCATAATACCATAGTAAGATAATCTACAAAAGCAAGGTAGTTAAAATCAGGATTTTAACTTAAATTGAGAAGGGGGGGTAAAATTCACAAGTTGATTCATAATGCATATTCATAATCAATATTTCAAAAATGGCAGGCACCATCTTAATTAGTTATAACCCATAAAATAGCAACAAACTCAACAATTCAAAAACACAAGTACACAACACATTACAAGACATAAACATAAACACCAAAGACAATACTGTAATTCTAGAATCTACATGTCTAATCTAGGCCATGCCACATAGTAATCACAAGGATCCACCATTTGATCCTCTTCTTCAAGTCTCTCTCCACTTCAAAATTGTGAAAAGGTAACAATTAAAGGTTGGTTTGTGGCTGTGTTGATCATGCAGAGTGGAAGAAGTAGAAGGAGAGAGTTAGCAATTTGGGGATTTAAATTGAGATTTTAAAAGGAATTTAACTAAGATTTGAATGACTTACAGGGATGAAAACCATGATGTGGTGGAATTTTACAATACAAATCTGGATTTAAACTACAGTGTAAAGAAGATGAAATGCAAAATAGAAAACAAATAAAAACTAATCTTCGCAGGGCAAATAATCAAAGGATCATGGAAAAGTATACAACAAGGAAGGGCAGAAGATGATGGCAGCTAGAGGATTCGTTTCCTTTTAAGATATCAATTACTACCTACGTAAAGGTGCAATTGAAGGGACACATGGCCATCAGCTATCCTCCTTTTCTGTAATTTAGAAATTCACAGGGTAAAGATGTACATCAGTTACTAAAGTAGAAACATCTGTTTTTCTTTACGTGCTACTAGATATGACCTTAAAATATTTACAACAGAAAATACTGAAAAACTAAGGAGCAAGATATCAAATCCCATACAAGGAAAATTACTTTTAATGATTTCATATTTTGAAACAAATATTGTTAATAAGTTGAACAAAAATAGTTGTTAGTTACAACCTGCATGAGCAAACATTGCCAGGTAAAAAGCAAATCAAATTACAGGATGAAATGGGAGAATTTATAAACGAATAACAAGTTTCAGAAAATCTAATTTCATATGTGCTACTATGTAAAGCTCCCATAGATAATAAGCACACTCAATCTCCATGCTTTCTGGTTATCTCACAGATTTCTAAGGAGTCATAAATGTACAGCATGCGTGATACAAAAAGGGAAATTCTATCAATCAGAAAAATAACAAATTTCAACCAATGCAATGAATCCTCAAAATCGAAATACCTCAGAAACCAAACAAGTATTTATCAGAAAGAGAAAATGATAATAAAGCCAACATTTTTAGCACCAACTCTTCCAAAGAAAGCCCGTTGATCGAAAAACAGACTCTTTTCTCCACAGTAACAACATTGGATACAAGACAACTTTCCATAACCATCAAGCCCTAAGATGAGGTTGGTAAGGCTCAAACTAAGAAAAAATAAGGGTTGGAAGGAAAATCAATGGTGAAAATACCCATAAAGCAGTCTAAGAACCCTCCTCGGTCCTGACAAAACTAACAATAGAAGCAATCCCAAGCTGATATTAAATTCTTGAAACACAGACAGATCAACAAAGACAGTATCAAGAAAATAATACAGAAATCAGCTTTCTTTGTCATTTTTTTAAAAGAATAGCGGGAAAAAAAAAACATTTTGAGAATTAATAGCTGAAACCCATTACCTCGTTTAAAAGAGTCCAGCAGTGTGAGTGGGTGTGAGGGGGTCGAATGAGACACCCCACAACAGCTGGTTTGTAGGGAAGAGAAAAAGAATGGGGAAAAGGAAAGAAAATTCTTGGCGCAATTGAAGCGATTCAGTTAGAGAGGTGTGAGTTTTCCTTCAAATGGAATAACAGAGAAATGGGTTGCTCTAGATTTGGTTGATAAAGAAGGCCAAGCGACAGCCAACACATTGAACCCAAGACACACAACACACCACTCGAGAGAGAGAAAGAGAAAGAGAAGTGATTTATTTATTCATATTTTATGTTTGCGTTCTTTTTGGTTTCTTTTTTGATACGACAAAAACGACAGGCAGGTAATGAAGTGAGGAAGAGGTTTCTCCATATACACTACAGGAATAGGAATAAGAATAGGAATGGTGCTTGCTTTTCACAGAGAGAGAGAGAGAGAGACGCGTGTTGGCGCGTGTCTTATCTTTTTAGTGCTTCCATTACACAGTGGTTGAAGGGTTGTATGGAGGAGTTTGTAATTAATGTCCCATTACTATCATTTATTTAGATTTCGGCCATAATTAAATTCATAAACTACTGCATATGTATGATGTGCTGCACTATTTAGCAGATGGAAAAACGGGTTACTCCCATTTTAGGTTTCTGGTTTTTCACATCAATATCTCTTTTTATCTCTGCTCTTTCTTTAAATATTTATCTTTATCATCAAATATGGTAAGAATATATTTAAAAAAATCTGAATTTGCTTTATTTGAACCATTGCAAAAACTGACTATTTATAAATCCAGTTTGGAATTTCTACAGTCAAAGATAAAGATGAAAAAACATTCAAAGATATGATGGCATGGACTCAGAACCACAATTAGTCCCACAAAACTTTTACGAATAATAAAAAAACCACTTACATATAATTCAATACATCAGCCTTTTTTTTCTCTAGTTTCAAATTTATTTCCTATATTTATTTATTTATTCAAACATTTTTATTTACGATTAAAATGAATTTATAACAATATTTTTATTTAACTATAAGTTATTATATATTATCAAATTATTAATTTTAAATAAAAAAGTTGTGCTGATTTTTTATTAACTGAAAATATAAAAGCCTTTAAGCTTGTGACCCATGCAAATTAAATTAATATATGTGTTTTGAGTTTTGGAGAAAACTTTAGAAATAATATAATAACAAAAAATCTGATGCATAAATAATAAATATCCATATCCCCATAATAAAAGAAAGAATGGCTTAACAAGTCATAAGAGAGATTTTTTATAATTTAATATCTATTTAGTATTTATATATAAATTAAAATAAATTTGATTATTTAATAATAAATGAGGAATAATTACATATCTCATTAATTAATATAATTTATTCTTAAAACAACATTATTTTTTATTTAAAATAATAATAAAATTTTTATAAATGAATAATCTCATTTATTATATACTTTTTAAAAAAATTTATATACTTTTACTTTTTAATATTATTGTTGACTTGTTCTTAAAAACGTTTTTGTAAGTGAACACTTCTTTTTCATATTTTATCGTTATGAAGTATTTCTTGTCATTAATAAATTAATATTTTATTTATATAATATAGTAGTATTTTTTACATAAAATTTGTTTATATTGATTTTGGAAAAATTAAATAAATATTTTTAAATTATTTATTTATTAATTAATATATTTATTAAATAATAAAAAAATATGTATACATTAAAATACTCAATTTAAATTTAATTTATTAGTATTTAGAATTTAAATTATAATATTATTATATATTTTAATAGTATAATATTAAAAAAATATAATAATTAAATTATAAATATTTTTATTTTTATTTTAATAAATAAATATTTTAAAAAAGAAGTAATATTCATGATTTTAAACCATTAAGTTGACGTTAAATTAGATTCACAAGAACAATATTATTCTTTAAAAAATTATACTTTTTATATTTGAAGCTGAAATTTTCCATCCATTAAATATTGAGTCTCTTTAAAGTTAATATACTTTCATTTGATCTAGTTTTTTTTTTTTATTATTTGTTGAGTTTAAAACTTCGGATTTAAGAAATGTTATAAACAAATTACTGGAACCTGCTCGTAGAACTATGATAAATATTGTTGTTATTGGCGAAGACACGGTTAGAAAGACTGTTAACATTTAGGTATAACTTAGGTAGTTAGATATTCCAACTTACTTAAGTGTTGCTCAAAATTTGGAGCATGAAAATAGAGATGAGAAAGTGAGACATTTATTTTAGTTTTTATTCAGAGAAATATAAGAGTTTGCAAACTACAATAATAAAGAAGACCGGACCCAAAAAGAAAATCTAAAAAGTTAATAAATTTAAAGTAAAAAAGGGATTTGTTTTCTTCAAGAATTCAACCCATAACTTCTTTAAAAAAATTAGAGTATGATAAAAATCAAAACGTGACTTCCAATACTTACAAAACTCTAACTTGATGCCAAATTTATGCATAGCATGGTTGATAGTACAGTGTTTACCATTTTGTCTGAAGTTGAGGGATATACTTTGACAACTTGCACAGATTTCCTAAAATTCCAGTACCACAAGAGGCAACCTCCTCCTATTTTGTCTTGTCCTTCTCTTTTTCCCTAATTCCATTTATTTTCTCCAGCTTAATTCCATATTCCAAGTTCATTTTTTTTACCCTTTTTAGTTTTAAAACCTCAAACAAAACTGTGGGCTTGGATCCTCAATACATGCAATTGAATTAAGCATTTATGGCCTTTTGGGCCTATTCACCTAAATCCTCTCTCATCTTCAATCATTTCTCTACTTTATTATTATATTTTCTCCCTCCTACTATACCTTTCTCAGTGTGAATGGTTGAGACCAAATAATGTACTTGGTGATTTAATCACACGTTTCGGTACCTTGTTTTTAACAATTATTCGGTGAAATCTAAAGGCAGCTCTGCAATAAAAAACTATCTTCAATTGTTTAATCACTCAATTCTTTGTGTTACAACAAAAATTAAAAACAAGGAGGAAGAATGTCCAATTATTTTTTTAACATAGTTTTTGTAACTCTTTTGGACAAATTATTTCACCAACTTTATTTTTCCCAATTATATCTATAGCTGTCACTTTTTTTAACACCTTGACAGCTAAAAGTTATGCTTTGAATTACTTTTCAATTAAAAACGTTCTCATCTTACCGATCCTTTTTCTGATTTTTAATCGTTAAATTAATATTTATTTATATATATTATCTTAATTGTTTTAAAAGAAATAAGATTATTATTATTATTTTATTTTAAAAAAAATATCTCAATCTCAATTTTATCATAATAATATTATTAAAGATAAATTATCATGTAAGATATTATTTATATTATATTACATCATAATTTGATTATTAAAAAATGTATTTATAGATTAAATATATATATATATATATATAAATTATTTTTTACTCTAAATAATACGAGACTCACAAATATATTAAAATATAATCTTGTATTGATGATTAAAGGATAAAAGAGAATCTTAAACTAAAACTCTATTTATTTACTTTAAAAATGTAATACATTTGTTATTTTATTATTAAAAAATATGCTTTAAATATATATAAAACTTATTCTAAAAAATACAAATTTATGAATATATAATAAAGGAATAATAATAGTAAAACGGAAGTTAATATGAAAGTATGGTTTTTATAATTTATTTGAGGATTAGTTAAATATAAATCTCAAATAAATATTATTTATTAAAAGAAATGCTCGATGGTATATACAAATTAATTCTAAAAATATATGATTTATGGATATATATCGAAATAATAATAATTTTTTTTAATTTATTTAAAGATTAATTAAGCATAAATATGAGATATTATTTTATTTATTCATGCTTATTTATCAAACTATTCGTTATAAATAAAAAATGTTTTGAAGTTTATAATCATATAAAAATCTAGGTAAGTATTTATTATAACGAAAACACGTAATTAAACTTTAATATCCAATGTTCTTCCTAAGTAAATTAAATTTTGTAGTAAAAATTTTCATAAAGATCGGTCATTACAAACAAGGTGTGTGAACAACAAAGAAATCTCCAACTAGTAGTGGGTATTAATTAGCATTATATTATGTTGAACCTCAGAACTCACCTTTTTTCTTTGAACATATAATGTAATGAAATGAAGAAAAGTATATATAATAATAAAATGGCTGAAGAGCCATGCGAAGAATCAAATGGTGGAGAGAGAAATGAATAAGTTTTGTGTGATATGATATGCATATGACCCTTTGGGTGTGTGTAGAATTTTCCAAAAAAAAAATGGTGAAAAAGAGTTGGTGAGTGGCAACACCACTCACGATAGCTCCAGGCTCTTTCCAGCCAACCCTCACTTCTAATTCTTTATTCTCATTCAACGCTGTCATTCATTTGTCCTGTTATCTATCTATGAAACCTCTGCCCAAACATTGAAAACGATGCCTCTTGTATTAGGTTATTGTCACCACAACACTCATCATGTTACATACATATTCATACACTTCATCATTTTGCTCCGTCACATTTCAACCCACCACTTCTTCTCCTATTAACCCTAATCTTCTTTCACTTTCATCTCTTCTTTAGTCACTTTCATCCGTACTACTGAAATCTAAAACCCATTTGCACACAAGTCTTTGTCCACAAAAAATATGCTACTAGATTTTGCAAGATTGAGCCTCAAACAGGTAGATAGCAGAGCACCCTCCTCAAATGAACGGAGTTGAAAAATGTAGAAAAGTGATCATTCGACACTGTTAATGGTTAACCTTGTATCATGTTTTTTTTACTTATTATTATTATTATAAGACCTTGTATCATATGTTAAAGGGAAGACACCAACTAACAGTTCTTTATATCATTTGACTGCAACTAAAACTATTAAAAATATATGTATAAGAAACTGTTAAAAGAAGAAACTAGTACTAAGACATTTTATTATCTCTTCTGTGTTACTATTTATATAAAGTTATTACTTGCGATCACCGTCACCCTATTGGATGTATATAATATGATATATAGAAAAAAGAAAGCAAGTATAAGAATTGCATGAATATTACATCAATCTTCACTTGATTGGATGAGAATGTAACAGTGGAGTTTTGGTGGTCGTGGTTGCTTTGTTGCCTGTATCTTGCTAATTTCGGTCACCCTTGTTTACGTTGCCTCCACTGATACGACAAAAAGTTGTTTAATTTAGGGTTGGGCAACTGTTTCCTAGGTTTTACCGACGCAAAACAATATTGTTTCGGTCATTATAAAGATAATACAAAAATTATCTTTTATCCATGTGAGAACGAATTTTTCAAATTCACATTGCTGCCACATCTGAGTTCAAATTCATCTATTATTATATTTTTTTTTCGTCAAGTACTACATTGGATTTTGGACTTGAAACTAGTAATTAATGGATTAAGAGTAAATTATTTTTTAAAATAAAAATGAGAAAATTTAGAAATATATAAGTAAAAAATTCTCAAATCTTTTTTGGATTGAAGTTGATAAATTAAGAAAAATAATTTAATAAATGATTTAAATAATTAAAAATTTAGTTAAAGATCATAAAAAAATGTAATTTAGATTATCTCAAACTTAAAAAAAATGTAATAAACACTGTGATATGAATAAAATATATTATATGAAATATAAATATTATATTTTTCATTGATGCATATAAAATTTATTTCGTAGTTAAAACATTTTAAATGATGACAGTAATTTTAAGGTCAATACAAAATTAATGTTTGAACCATATTAAAGAACAAGCATAACATCTGGCCTAAGAATTCATGCATTAGTCTAACTAAGAACATTTTAAGAATATAAGTCGAAAGTATCAAAGTGTACATATTAAGGGACAACTTAAGCCTATATTCAAATTAAGCCCATTGAAAATAACATGTACCACCTTTTTATTTTTTTATTACTGAATACAAACATTTGAAGCAAACTAAACGACTAAGTGTCGTAAAGGTAATGTATTTTTTCCACTGATAAATACCTTTTTTTTGGTTGACGAATACAAAATTTATATTTTAGTTGCACTAAGGATATTTCAAGCAGCCAAATTGATTCAGGGTCATTAAACAAATACCAGTATAGTTTTTTTAGAAAACGAATAACATGATTTTTTTTAAAAAAATTTTTGTTAATGAATACAAAATTCTTCTTGTAACTACACTGTGAGGAGATTTTGTATCAAAAATATGTTTTCTTTCTTAAAATCATGATCCCGAAGAATGACTAAACTTTGTTTAATTAACAAAAAGTATTCTTGGGAATATATATATATATATATATATATATATATATATATATATATATATATATATATTATCATAATAATAATAAAACACTGGGAGAGTTAAATTTCCACATCCCTACGATAATTTTATTTATTTTTTTACTTGAAAAAATAACTAGAAAGCATTAATGGGAACACATGGTTTATATTTTCATACGATTATTATTATTATTATTATTATTATTATTATTATTATTATTATTATTATTATTATTATTGTTGTTGTTGTTATTATTTAAAACACAAACTAACCATGAAAAAAATAACATTTCCAACTTCAAATTCCTGAAAAACTAAAATTCTTTACGAATTGGCCTCAAGGAATAATTTAAACACAATATTTGATGAAGGGTCATTGAGAATAATAAATACCATTTTTCATATGAATACAAAATTCATTTTTAGTTGCATTAAAAGATATTTCAAACATACCAATTAAATTTTCACGATAATAAATACATAATTCATATTGCAACCAGACAACTCTATCATATTTGATCGAGTGTCAATTATAATAATAAATACACTTTTATTTATTAATGAATACAAAATTCATGACTTGAAGGACATTTCAAATACAATAACCGATTTGAGGTATTAAACTTCAAAAATACCTTTTAAAAAAAAAACTCTTTTCAAATGAATATCAATTATCAATAAAATATCAACCATATATACTTTACATGGATATCGATAATGAAATATGAATATGTTAAACAGAAAACAGTGAATATATATAAGCAGTATAATTTATAATTCCAATTTCATGAGCGTAATTGGAGTTTCATATTTGAAAATTAACTGGATATGAAAGTTTAATTATTTTGAAAGTTACTTATAATAGGTTTTACTATTTCTCTTATGGGTTACATTTTGACTTTTCCAAGAGGTGTTTGGAACGCACAAATCAGGAAATCCCACATTGCATTTTTCCAAGTTTATTAAGGATCCATTTCTTCTAAAGGTGGGTACAATTAATTTATTTTTTTTAATTTAAAATATGAATATGTTTTTTTTTAATGGCAAAACAGACCGTGGTTAAGACGTTGGTGGGCCTATGATTTTGTCCATGTTCAAACGCTGGTTACCAAAAGTAGAGAAAACAAGGGATGCGTCAAACTCGACCCAAAATAGTGACCCTTGTGAAAGGCCCAACCCAGTACTGGTTTGGTTTCTTGGTTATGATCAAACAAGCCCGAAAAATACAGTTTAAAAATTATGTAGGGATTACTAACATCTCAAACAAGATTATAAAGGTTTCCAAGAAGAGTGAGAAAGAGACCTAAACTCATGAAGTGAGAATAATTATGTATTTTTAACAATAACGATGATATTAGAACCATGATCCCATTGTAGTTTTAATTTTAAATGACCAATTGAGTTGATTAACAATCGATTTGTCCACTCTAATCCTGATTTTGAACTTTTTTCATAAAGAAACTCAAATTAACAAAGCTCTAAACAACATTCTTCTTCCTTCTAATGTTCAGGTATTTTGAAAGTTCGAGTTCATCATCAACAGGGCGTTCGACATGAAAAGTGACAATGGGCAAGAAGAAAAAGGAAAAAGAGAAAGAAACGTGAAGGATTAGTGAGATAGGGGCCATCTAGACCGTTGGAATGAGGAGGATCTCCACGGTCCATGATAGTGGAGGAGTATCTGTGATGGAGTGTATATTATTATTACCTTTCAAGAGAAGGATTGGTTGGACTAAATTGTTGGTGAACACTCCTTTGACTTACTAAACAGCACAAGAATCCCGAAGCCGACATTGTCAACGCTTTATTTCCCGCCAATTCCCTCACTCCGTTCCAATCCTTCAACGTTCTCGGCGACGAAGAAGACGACGCCGTTGACGACTCCCCTTCCCCCTCTTCCGTGCAAGAATTGTCGCAAGATTCGCTCGACAACACTTCCTCTTCCTTTAATTCCTTCGATTTCTCTTCCACCGTCTTCCTCCGCCGCTGCTGTATCTTCTCTCCCATCAGGTCGCGGTACCCTATCGCTGGAATCTTCTCCAGCGCAGGGAAGCCGGAGCCGTCCATCACCATGGCACCGATGTTCATCACGCCGTGAAATCTCCCCGAAGGCCGCCGGATCTGGAAGGCGCTGAAGCACGGCGTCGACTTGTCGGCGTCGCGGGAGAGCATGTTGCTGATGAAGAACCGCACGGTGCCGACGAGGTGGTCCCGAAAGGTGCCGATGGCGTAGATGACAACGCAGACGCTGGAGGTGTCACCGGCGAGAAACTCTGGCGATACGCGGAAGAGGAACTTGTCGTTCCAGGTAGGGTTGTGACCGCCGAGCTTGTCCACGCGAGTTCGGAGCTTCGTGTCAGGGTCGATCCACGTGACGGCATAGGTTTGGAGCCTTCGCCGAGGAGACGAAGGCGGCTTCAAGCCCTGCGCGGAGATCAAGTTGATCTCCAATACTTGATGCGTGTTCGCCGGCGGCGGCGACGGCATTCCTCTCTCTCTCTAGAACCTTCCTTACCACACCATCTTTATTCTTTCTTCGGACTGCGGCAAGATGAACTGGCGTGATGGGCCAAGAAAGAATAAACGGTTGTGATTCCGGCGGAAGAAAGAGACAGTCTAATGAGTTTGCGAGAGGGAAAGGGAAAACAGTTAGTTTCAGCGGAAACAAGTGTGGGACCTGTGTTTATACTTATTGGGCTCTTTTTCAGTTGTTATTATTAGTTAGGGTGAAAAACTTAAATATTGCCTGTAAATAACTGACTTACGCTGTGTAAATAATTGTAGGTTCTTATTAGTTAGGGTGTCTCTTTCATTCCCAAATCACTCTTATTTCTAATTTACTTTTAAGCCATACTCTACCTAAAGTATATATTTGCTGTAAAATAATAATTATATTTATTTTTAAAATAGCAAATAAAAAATAGAAATTCCATAAAAAACTAGACATTTTAGTCTTATTATTGTTATTACCAGTATAATAGTTGTTAGACGCGATTTATTTTTAATTTTGTTACTAACTACATGCAACAAGGCCACTTTCACTTACCAGATTTTGTTATTAATTTTGTGGTTCTCATTTCCAAATCACTTTAATATGTAATGACTTTTAAGCCACAATCTTAAAGGAAAAAACACCTTATTCGCTCAAGGTTCTTAAAAAAAATAATCATACACAAGGTGTGTTTTAAATTTAAGTAATTAACAATTTTATATATTATACACACGTTTTTATTTTTTAAGAAGGAAACAAATTTTCCCGGGTAAAACGAAATGATGTTTTCTTGCTATACTTGTATTTTTAAAATTAATTCTTAAATCTCTCATGTCATCTTACATATGATATATGATAGGCTACAAATTTAAATATTAACATTAGTTAATATGTAATTTTAAGACAAACATAATCCTTTATAACATTTTTTTTCCTGAATTTGATGTTTTAGGAATCTTATTTTCTTAACTTATTAATACGTGTTTTAAATACAAAATTATAATAAATTAATATTTTAAATATGTTGGTACAAACATAAAACTGAGATAGTTTTATTTCCAAGCATAACAATATCAATCAATTTAATTATATATAATAAATTAAAATTTAAAAATATACATACGAATTAACATCATCTGTATAATAGAGCGGAAAACTGTAATATTTAAATGGAAAACGATTCTTTGACAACTGAAAACAAATATCCGTTCGACAACCGGGGTTAAAAAGAAATTAATTAAAAATAAGGGTTTGACTAGTTAAATTGTAGAGGGGTAGAGATGTAATATTGTAAAAATGGGGGATGTAATGGTAAAAAGTGAAATATTTGTTCTTCCTCTCGCTCTTGTTCTTCCTCTCGCTCTCGCGTGTCTTCTCCGTCTGGCTGTTCTTCCTCTCGCTCTCGCTCTCACTTTGTCTATGTTTAAATATTCGGTTCTATTCATTTGGTTTAGGGTTTAATTTGGTTGTTGATTACGGTTTTGAATTCGTTTGCATTGTAAAGAAGAAGCATACAACAACCATCGACGTTAATGTATTCTTTGCTTTCTAATTACTCACAGATTCTCTGTTCTCTGTTTTCGTTCACTGTTGACTATCTCAATAGTCATAAACATAAATCATGGCTGACAAAAGAAAAAGCTCCAAGCGCACCCACTCAGAAGCGACTTCTGAGAAGGGGAAGGAGATGATAGCTACCTTAGATAGCGGTTAATTAGAACCGCTTTTAAAAATATATATTAGATAGCGGTTCACTGTGAACCGCTATCTAAAGTATAGTTCAGATAGCGGTTGCCCAAATAACCGCTATCTAAAGTCATATATGTCAAAGTGATCGACTATAATTGGATAATAATCGATCATAATGTATAGTTGAGATAGCGGTTGGCCAAATAACCGCTATCTAAAGTCATATATGTCAAAGTGTTCGACTATAATTGGATAATAATCGATCATAATGTATAGTTTAGATAGCGGTTGGTCAAAGAACCGCTATCTAAAGTCATATATGATAATAATCGATCATAATATTCGATCAGGGAGGAGATACCGGTTGGAGGAGAAGATAAGGACAGCTTTCTTCCATTCCACTCTTGCTCCAATCCCAATAGTCCGAGATTGAAGATGATGTCAACGGTTAGCCAAGAAGGTTTATGGCAAACTGGAAGGAGTGTTGAGAGATAAATGATCTACCTTAGGTAATGCTTTGTTTTCAGTGGGAACCGGTGGAGATTGAGGTGAAGGTCTTGTAGTCTCCGGATTGGTTGGAGTAGAGCTAGTACATCGGACACCTGCGCCAACTTGAGAAGAATGCTCATCCGAAATGAGAGTCGATGCAGCGGAGCGATTTGAGCATCATTGCTCGGTGTCACGGATTCCCCATGGTTGGCTTCCGGCTCTGCAATCGGAGGTCCTTGTATCCCATCCCGGTTAGGATATGTTAGAAGAGAAGGTCTGAGATCGAAGCCAAACTGTTTTTATAGAAGATTTTCAAAACTACTCGGTTTAATTAATCTATTAAAAGATTCTTTTAATCTGTTAAAAGTGCAGTTTTAATCTGTTAAAACTTCTTTTAATCCATTAATACGTTCTTGATTCTTTAACAAATTTGTTTTAATTGATACGACAACGTTTATATCAATTAAAACACTTTATAAAAAATCTTCTAAGTTGATTTAATCGATTGTTTCGCGATTCAATCGATTGAAATACAACAAAACTTTCTTATAAAACTTTTCAAGTTATTTTAACTGATAAAAATAAGTTCTAATCGATTAAAACGCTGTACAGAAAATTTCTAAGTTGTTTTAATCGATTGAAACGAGATTTAATCGATTAAAAGAGTTCTGATCGGTCATAACTAAATTCTGATCGATCATAACTGACTCTGATCGGTCATAATTGTCTTCTAATCGATCATCCTGACCCTTTAAGTCATTTTAATCGATTGAAACGTGTTTTAATCGATTGAAACGTCAACAAGTCATTGAAACATTGTTAACATGACAGCTACATCTCTGTTTTCATTTATATCTCCCATGCTAGATAAACGATGAAGGATACAGTGCCTACCATTGACAACAATATAATAGCAACCATCTCCTTTAAATTATATTCATATTACAATACACTAGTTTACCTACTTACATCATGCAAAGATACAGTCGCTTGAGCGACTGGTGAACGTCAGACGAAACGTCCTACGCAGTTAGCCATCTAATAAATCTTGGCTCACCACATATAACATTCAACTGTCGCTCAAGCGATTACAGAGTCGCTTGAGCGCGATAGAACCCGAGAGTCTCCCTTGTTTGAAGGCTACTTCGCTCGAGCGATAGCTTTATCGCTTGAGCGAGGATAAACCCAATGACGAAACGTCAGACGCAGTTAGCCAAATAATTTAAGTTGGTTCACCACATATTAGAATCAATTTTCCGCTCAAGCGTTCAAAAAGTCGCTTGAGCGAGATAGAACCCGAGAGTCTCCCTTGTTTGAAGGATGCGTCGCTCAAGCCATAACTTTGTCGCTTGAGCGAGGTTATTTATACCCAATGACGAAACGTCACACGCAGTTAGCCAAGTAATTTAAGTTGGTTCACCACATACTGGAATCACTTTTCGCTCAAGCGGTAAAAACATCGCTTGAGCGAGATAGAACCCGATGGTCCCTATTGGTTAAGGTTCCATCGCTCAAGGGATGTCATCCTCGCTTGAGCGACTGGTGAACCACAGACGAAACGTCCTACGCAGTTAGCCATGTACTAAATCTTGGTTCACCACATATAAGATTCAGCTGTCGCTCAAGCGATGACCTAGTCGCTTGAGCGCCTCTGAACGCGAGAGGCACGAAGCGACCTTAGATAGCGGTTGATAAGACCCGCTTTTAAAAATATATATTAGATAGCGGTTAACGATAAACCGCTGTCTTACGTATGTTAATGATCGATTATAAACTAAAATAATCGATCATATTATCTTTTTTTCTAATATCGCTCAAGCGAAATTAACATCGCTTGAGCGAAACCAGCTCCTAAGAAAGGGGATTCTCGGGTTGTGTTTCGCTTGAGCGAAAAGAATCTCGCTCGAGCGAAGCCACCTCCTGAGAATGGGGTCACCCATGTTACATTATGCGGCTAACTTTGATCGACGTTTAGCCCAAGGTCAACATTCGCTCAAGCGAAATTTACATCGCTCGAGCGACACCACCTGCAAGAAATTGAGATTCTCGGGTTGTATTTCGCTTGAGCGACATTAATCTTGCTCGAGCGATATCTGGTTCAACCGTGATATTTGTCACTTTTAAGAGTTGTAGACATATAAACATTATGTGGTTAATTATGATAGACATTTAGTCATGTTTTACTATTGGCTTAACCATATATCTGCTGACCACCTCAACTTTATGTGCTTAACTGAACATGACATTTTTGTGTTAATTATGTGCTAAATTTGTATAGCCCACATTATATGCTTAACCACTTGATTATATATCATTAAATGCACATAAACATACATGATCAGTCGAACAACACATCGGAGGAAGATACAATGCTATCACTATGAGATAAAAAGTAATGTACAATATAACATTATCACAGGCCACAAAAATTACATCATAAAGGTCTGCATCAAATATAAATTACAATTACAACAAAACCTAACAAAATAATTCATCTACACAACACTTATGTCGCCTTTTTTCTTTTCCTTGAATTAGTCGTCCACGGTGTTTTGACCGTAAAACTTTTATACCTTATTCTTGGATGACCTTTAAGTCGCGTATACATATTTGACCCTTCAAAATGCAACTTTGATTCTTCTGTTGCTTCAACATGATGCTTCATCTCTTTAATACTACTACCTTCAAATTAATGGATACAACATTCACCTTCTTAACATTTGAAGATCCATCGTCTATGCTTTCCATTTCAAACTGCAAATACATGTAACCCTATTTAATTTGAGTTCATAGTATAAAATTTATTTACTGTCATGACGTTTACTACAGGTCGAGCACATTCATACAAGTATTTCATGACAACAATCTGAGTATCATCTAACAATGAATATCATAAAAGTTATGTCAAAGCATATACTCATTTTCATTACTAAGGGTCAATAACATGCAGTAAGAAAACACAATTTCAGATCTCAATGTAGAAAAACTCTAAACCCTAAACCCTAAAAATATATAATGCACTAACTCCCAATAAGCACGTCCTACAACAGCAATGGCGAATGGAGACTGGAACGCGAACTTGGCGACACACAAATATATTACAATGTAATATGCTTCAATGTGAGCAAGAGAATCAGAAAGATTGAAAATACAAATAACGTACCTTTAGCTTAATAGAAGACGCAAAGAGCGAGAATGAAAGCGCAGAGAGCGAGAATGAGAGCGGCCAAAAAACGCAGACAGAAAGAGCGCGAAGTTGAAGAAAGTTAGAGGTAGGGTTTACAAAAAATATGACTTTAGATAGCGGTTCACTCCTAACCGTTCTTTAAAAGTATGAAATTAGATAGCGGTTATATCTGAACCGCTAATAAAACATACTTTAGATAGCTGTTATTTATGAACCGCTAATAAAACATACTTTAGATAGCGGTTATTTCTGAACCGCTATCTAAAGTTTAATATTTTTTTAATCGGTTGTCGAACGGATGTTTAAAATGGGTGTCAAAATATCGGGACTCTATTTAAATTATAAACTAAAACCAAACCTGTTAGAGATTGTGATTACTTAACACAAATCTAGCATATTTTTCTGTACAAAGATGGAGTGGACAGCATTATACTTTTGTTTTCCTTTTTTTACGTGACATTATACATTTGTTTTCGAATCTTGTAAGTTAATTTTCTTTCCACATTCTTGTCTTCTTAGCAAGACAAGTCTACTTAAACATATTGTATCTTACTTAACTCATCTTGTGGTTATGGGAAGATGAACAATGAACGACAATAATTTTTTTATATCCAATTTAATTGTCTATAGTTTTCAAGTAAGACTTTTGTTTTTTCTAGTATTTTTTTTCCTGTGTAAAACGCTTTTTGAAATTATCTACATGATAAAAATGATACTTTTTAAAATAAATAAAAAAAAGACTTAAAAAATAAACATAATAATATTTTAGAGGGTGCAAACTGGATCTTTAAATTTTTGAAGGATCACAAATATATCTATTTTATTGTACAAAATTTTTCTAAAAAAACAGTGCATAATATATATATTTACTTATCTTATTGGGTGATAAATTATGATCTATTTTCGAATTATTATTTGATTTTAAACTTTAGTCCGTCGTTATTTTCTCCTCATGAAACAGGCTAGAACAATATCCAAATAAAGAACATAATTATAAATTTTGGTGCTTTATAAATTAAGAAAGAAGGATACAGTGGGTTTTGGGACCTGTTTCTAAAATTTGATATAAAATAAAAATTTTCCACAAGTGAAGATTAGAAGAAATGATGGAGATGTTATCTGAAGAAATGATATTAAAATGAACAGATTCCATGTAAACGAGATTTAGACAAATGAACATTACTTTTAACTTGCTTTGCCTTTGATGTTTGTCTTCAGTCACGTCGTGGAACTTGCCGGCACAATGTTGAGATAATGACGCTTACCCAACTCACTGCTGACTTTTCTTGTATGCATGTGTAATGTTAAAATAACTATTAATTTGAAAGAAAAAAAATATAAATAGAGAACAAGACATAATTAAGTCTAAACGTTAATTAATTATGGATTTGTAAGCAACCAATGAGCAACTGCGTAGCCTGCATGGTACTGATGTCTACTGAAACATTTATCGAGGCTCTCTATAAATTGGTCGCTAAATTGGTTATTCTGTCTCAAGCTAAGATTGCAATGGGCATTAAAACACCAAAAGTTCCAATTCTCTTTCTCTTGAATTTTCTTGCCTTGGTTTGCAGTATCAATGCAGGAAACATTGTGGTTTACTGGGGCCAGAGCGAGAACGAGGGCTCATTATCCGAAACATGCGACACTGGACTGTACAAATTTGTGAACATAGCGTTTCTGGCAACATTCGGCAGTGGGCGTGAGCCCCAAATCAACCTAGCAGATCACTGTGACCCTGCCTCAAACGGTTGCAAAATTTTGAGCGAAGACATAAAGCATTGCCAGAAGAGAGGCATCAAGGTGATCCTCTCAATCGGAGGTGGCGAGCCAGGGTACTCCTTGTCATCCGCTGGAGATGCTACAAACGTGGCAGATTTCATATGGAACAACTTCTTGGGAGGGAAATCTAGGACAAGACCATTGGGTGATGCAGTGTTGGATGGTGTAGATTTTGACATCGAAGTTGGTGGTGGTGAAGCCTTCTACGCTGTGCTTGCAAGGAGACTCTCTGAGCACAGCAAAGGGGGCAGAAAATTGTACTTAACAGCAGCACCACAGTGTCCCTTCCCTGATGAGCACCAGAATGGAGCACTGTCAACAGGGCTATTTGACTTTGTTTGGGTTCAGTTTTACAACAATGATCCGTGTCAGTTTGACTCTGGCCACCCGACCAAGTTCCGGAATTCATGGATCCAGTGGATCTCGTCCATTAAGGCTAGGAAAATTTATGTGGGACTTCCTGCATCTCCATCGGCAGCTGGTACTGGCTTTGTGCCAGCACAAACTGTCATAAGTCAAGTGTTGTCTTTTGTCAAAAGATCCCGCAAGTATGGGGGAGTGATGCTGTGGGATAGGTCCGCTGATAAGCAAACCGGATTTTCCAGGACCATCAAGGACAGTGTTTGAGTTTGAACAAAACCAAGTTTGAAATTTGGCTCCGTCACTTGTGTTGTAGTTTTATTATGTTGCTCTTTCCTTGCAAGTTGTAAGTGAATAAAAAAATATTAAGGAGGTAGAAGGATGTCCATGTTGCTGGAGATAGCTGGGACAGCTGTCCCAGGTTGTTGAAACCATGCATGCATGTAATGTTGTAAAATAATGGCGTGCATGATTCATTCATTTGAGTGTAGAAAAATTCCATTTGACAGGACTCACCTTACTTTTTATTTCAAGTTACACATACTCTACATTCATCTTCTTTTTTAATACACTTTAATCCATGAAATAAAGTGAAAATTTGATTTTAACCCTAAGATTGAAATGAAGGGTTGACATTCAACTGATAAATAACAGTGCACCTACTTTGAATTTTTATTCTCTGGCTATGGACTGTTATTGTTTTCCAAACTCTAAACTCTTCATTTTGGCCTAAACCTCCATTAAAAACCAGGTCCTCACCATCACCATTCCAAAGCACAACAAAAAGGAACCCCAATTGCTCAGATTTGAATGGTTGCACGTAAAAAAAAAATTAGTTTCCAAATTGATCTCTTTCATGACAAAGTAGTTCTTTAAATGTAAAATTGGCCTTAGAGATTAAATTTCATATAGAATTGGAAGATTTAAAGAAAGCATGTTTGCTTTAACTTTTGGAAAGTTCAAAATTGTGGTTTTGGACATAAGTTAAACCTCTGTGAAAACTATGGTTTTGAGGTTCTGAATACAAAACTCATCACGTTCTAAATGATCATAGAATTGATGAAATTGATATAGAATAACTAATTTTTGATAAATTTGGAGATTAAATTATATACATATAACACTACAACTACTTACAACATAAATTCGTAGGTAAGCAAGAAAATCTGTAAATAATTTTAGATTATCTACAGACAAAAATTCCGTAGTTAAATCTCTCGAAAGTAATCATTACCTACGAATTTTCAATATCTATAGGTAATATCCGTAGATAATTACCGATGTATTCGTATGTAATTACCTATGGATATATCCGTAGGTAATTATATATGGATATATCCGTAGGTAATTACATACAGATATATTCGTAGGTAATTGAAGTATCTACTACTCTTCATTCTTTTTGCATTATTCTGATTGCATTGACCTGTACATTAAATGATATATAAACTTATCTAGATACACAAGTTCATAACCAAAAAAAATAAAATGATATATAAAATAACATAACAATTTATTGTTCCAATACAAAATAAAAATGTCAAATATATTCAAATATAATGAAACATATCCAATAGAATTTCGTAAAATGTTGATAATCCATATAATCATCATCTGAATCCTTCTGTTGATCTTGATTTTGTTGTTCGGTATTTGGTTCTGCAACCTTCTCTTGATCTCCATTGTCTTGATTAATTGGTTGTTGCAAAATGTTTTGTGCTGCTGCTGCTGGAGGTGGTAAGTATTGAAGGACTGCGCCAATGAATACTTGGATGGACTCGAACTGGGAGCTCATCATATGAATCTTTTCCTCACTACTTTCCAATCGTTGCTCACTACTTTCTAATCGCTGCTCATTACTTTCCAGTCATTGTGTCATTTGACTAATTTTCTGTGAATCAACTTTCTGACTGGAGCACGCTTCTGTCTGTTGTAGATAACTTTCAACACAATAATCACTAGAGTCAACATGACCAACTCTATACACGCGTCCCTTATACCTTCCTCTTGCAGTCTCTAACCAACATCTATTCCTTAGTCTTTCCTCTTCAATAGGGTCTAGGGGAGTGCATTGTGAAACACCCACATTAGAACTTGACTTAGACAATACTCGAGAATATCTACTCTCAAAGTTTTCCTGTTCAAATAAAACAATTTGTACATGTGTCTTTTAAATAATAAAAAATTTTAAGATTTAATGAAAGAAACTTACATGTGTTCGCTTAGATCTATCATCGACGAATTCACCAGTACACTTTCTTATATGCGTTTGTTGAAAAACTTCATCCACATGGACTGAGCGACCGAACTCCTCTGTCTAAATAAAAAAAAAAAAACATAAAATATGTCTTTACCAAATAATTGTTACATCATAAATGAATGGTAAAAAATATTGAAAAATTCATACCAAACGAATGGCGTGTTTGTGCACACTAATTGATCTGTCGGTGTGCAAACTTCCCCCTTTATCGGATGCCCGATTTTTCTTTTTTGTACCACATTTTGATCGATATAGAGGCATGTTCCATTGTTCCAACAGGTTGTTCTAGATATTATTTCCAATCCAATCAAGCTTCTTGCCTTCTCTTCTAGCCTCTTTAAATATCTTTGAAAGTCTATGTGAAGCCTTGGAGTGGAAATTTTTCTTAATTCTTTCCTCATCCTCATATCTCCATGTCACCTTCCTCTGTAAAACATAATGACTAAGATTGAAAGGATATTGCTACTAGTTGTGGCAGGTTTTGACATCAGCTATTCCAAATAATTTTGAACTTCATTAAATCCAAGACAGTCGTGCACACACAATCAAACAAACAAAACCACATAAGCATGTCAGATGCCAACAAACCATTGCACCTCTCAAAATATCAATGTTTTAATTAGACAGACATACCATGAGTTCTGCATCCGGACAACATACCATATGCAGGAAATCATTTATCGTCCACATTAATGCAACCCTCATCATAAAGTTTTGTTTCCTTGAAATATCGTATATTATGACACCAATCCACAACTTCTTCAAGTCATCTATCAAAGGCTCTAAAAAAACATCAATACCGATTGAATGGACTTGGAATGTGACAAGTAAAAAATGCACATTTGTGGAGGAAGATTATATGGGGTAACAATTATTGGCCAACATGAATATGTTGCATTTGATGCCATGACATATGGGTTAAAACCATCAGAGTATAAACCCAATCGTACATTGCGTCCCTCAATGAAAAAATCGGGATATACTCTATCAAAGTGCTTCCAAGCCTCACCATCACATAGATGACGTAAAACACCATTAATGCTTCTGTTCTCATAATGCCACATCGTTTCTCCTGCAATTTGTGGTGATGCATACAATCTTTGTAATCGTGGAATTATTGGCAAATAGAGCATTGCCTTCACGGGAACTAGTTTTTTATTACTTGGTCCTGTGTTGTGGTCACGATACCTTGGCTTATGACAAATTTGCATTCAAGTAATGCCCCATCATGCTTGCCATATTCATTATCATAGAAGAGCATGCAACCATCCACACAACAATCAATCCTCTTAGTTTCTAATCCCAAATTGGACACTAACCTTTTTGCCTCATAATAACTCTTAGGCAATCCCGTTTTCATGGGTGCTGCATCCAAAAGCATTTTAGTTATAAATTCCAAGCATTGGTCAGGAACATTCCAATTGGACTTATAAGCTAATAGCCTGACACACATTGATAGTTTGGACTCTGATGCCCCTTCATACAACGGTGTATTTGCATCCAACAATAGGTTATAAAATCTTTGGGTATCTTCGTTCGGATCCTCTTCCATGTTATTTAAATTTGGTGGTTGGAATGACTCTTGTTGCCTAAAAGCATCATAAACAATCTCTTGCATCGACACAAATTGGTCATGTTGTGACTGACTATGTACACCATGACTCCCCAGACCCATGCTATTATCATCATTATCACAATCACCTTGTGTCATCTCTTCACCATGATCAATCCAAATCCAATAATTAGGCTTGAAACCATGTTTGTAGAGGTGAACCTTCACAAGTCTTTCCTCCAAAATCCTCGTACAGTCGTACTTATTACATGGACATCGAATTCTCCCATCATTGTGATAAGAATCTTGTTGCAAAGTTTTGTTTACAAAGTCTTCCACCCCCATTATAAATGACTCTTTCAAAGCACCTCTTCCTCTATGACACCTATCATACATCTAAGCACGATTTGATGAGAATTGGTCCATGTTCTGTATATACAAAATATGACCACTAATTAGCCAACTTTGATGATAAGTTTCAATATTGGGGAATATCTTTCCTTGTTGCCCAATAAGTTTTGATATTTAATCTTAAAAAAAAAAAGCTATTAATAGGGAAATAACTAATGGGGAATAACTAACATTAAAAGACTCCATCTTCTATATATACGAAGATGCAAGACTTAGTGTTCTATCATAATGGTATATTTTCATGCCATTTTGTGCGTGGAATAATGGTCCATACCATTAAAATTGTCATGTATCCATTTGCCAGTTGTTTTAGGTATATTTCAAAGGAAAATCAAGGAAATAAAAGGAAAAATAGAACTTTACCGTGGTGATAGAAGATAGTTCACTTTCAAAAATGGAAAAACAGAACTTCAACAGGAAAAACAATTAACTTTCAAACATTATGCACCTAAATCAGTGGCGGATCTTGACCATTGATCTTGGAGGGACCAAATAATATATTATTAATAAATAATAAATAAATATAAAAAGAAGTAAGAAGATGAAAGGGTGAAAGGATAAAATTGTAAATATATACTTAAATATATTAAATGATAATTAAGTTTGAGGGGGGACAAAATCATAAGTTATATGAGAGTTACAAAATTGAGGAGGGGCTGGGAGGGTAAAATTGTAAATATACAAGTAAATACATTAAATGTTCATTAAGTTTGGGGGGGCCAAAATCATAAATTACATGGGAGTTACAAAACTTTGGAGGGGCCACGGCCTCCCTCAACTCCCAAGAAGATCCGCCACTGACCTAAACCCTATCACTTTCAAACATTAGTGCACAATCCCCTATATGAAACATTAAAGTTTCGAACAGATAAAACCAACAAGATTATTATTATTAGGACCAAGTTTGTGTGCAAAACATCAAATCATAATATAAAATATCACAAATAACGTTAGATAGAAATGAGAGTGCTCCTATAACATTTCCATTTGACCAAGGTCAATAGTCAACGAAAATAAAAGTTTGAGAATATATACAACAATATAAATATGTTGAATGTTAAATAATACCAGCACACGATGAAGGTGGGACCAGCTTATTGGTCTCCAATTCAGAACTCTCTCAACTTTTCACGTTTAAGGAAAAACTCATAAAATCTGCAGAAAAAAAAAGAAGAAATAAGAAAAGAAAAAAGAGACAAAAAGGAACTCAAAAGACCAATATTCAAATCAATATATGACTGGTCAAAGAACCATGAAATCTTCCAACTAAATTTTCAACAAAGTAGACAAGTTCAAAAGAAAAGACATAAAAGATAAAAAAACAGTTGTGATTGAAATTCTAACACAGTTATATTAGGTTAAAAAACTACTATTACATATAGAATTATGATAATATAAGATTACAGTTACATATATTAACAAAATTAGTAATAAAAAATATATACTTCAGATCTAAAGAGTGTTTGTTACACACTTTACCTCCTACTCCAATTATTATTATTATTATTATTATTATTTTTTGCATTGTAACACGAATAGGATACTAAAGAAATTCCCTAAACTAGTTGCTAGAAGAAAACCGAATGCACAAGGAGGCCACAAGAAATAAAGACAAAAGGAGAATTATAAACACCTTGCTGTAACCAATACAATTGATATAAATATATTTTTAGCACATCAAACACCTCAGTTTAAGTTTAGATCCTCATGGTTTAAAAGTTTAGCTTTTAGTCCTTGACAAAAACAACTATTGGGATGAAAAATGTATTTAAACCTATTCATTGATTTAAGAGATTTTATAGGTTGTCATACTCATGAAATTGATGACATCCTAACTTATTTGGTCAAGAAAGAAAAGAAACAAACAGGAAAAAGTAAAATGAAGGAAACATACCTCCTTAGTGTTCATATCACATCACATCCCATATCATAAAAATTTTCAACATTTCTTCTGAACATGACAGAAACAATTTTCCTATGATCTAATAGATTGATGGTAAAATCTTAAGGAGTATTAAGATAAAAAGTATATTTTCAAAGCCAGGGTCTTGAGAGGTGACTAAGAGTGATACCTAGGTCGCTAGGTCTGAGAAATATAACAAGGTTCACATAGGGAATCAAGAAGCTGATACACTTTGGCAGAGCCCAAAATACTACCAAATAAATTTAGAATTCAACTTAACAACAACTTTAAAGCAAAAACGTATTGCCTTGCTCCTCATGGCGGAGTAACCTTGAAAGGAATTGAGAAAAGTCTTATATTCCATTGAAATAATTCCACACTAAACATCATACCGGACATGGTTACAATATAAAGATATATAAGTCAAATAACTTTAATAAGACACCATTATATTATAAATTGTTAATTTTTAAAAAGATTTATTTAATTTTTTTAGATAAATTATTTTCATATAAATATCGTATAAAAAAATTCATCTTCAATCAGACTAAAAATAACCCTTAATAACCCTTAAGATCAAATTATACTTATGATTCTTTTTAGAACATAAGTTAAACGTTAATTTTATTTTATTTTTACTTGTTTCATAGTATAAGTCAAAAAGTCAAACTGGTCTAAAACAAATATTTGTTTTGACAGTGTTAGTTTAGACATAATTAAATGCACAATAACATCCAAATATCTAGCATTGTAGCTAGTTTCTCAATATACCAATTAAAAGCATATTGCAAAGAAGGTAAAAGCAAAGATGAAGCAAAGTTTTATTTGCCTGTAACATCCAAATAATCATATTTAAGAAATAAAATTGAATATCCCAACCAGCTGAGCCATAATCAATTATAGCAACATATGAAAAACAACATTTAAAATTGTCATTGATCTAATGTGAGAAAACATCCTACACAAGCAATAATGCATGACAGTGTCAGCCCCAAACCCGATAATCCACAGATCCAGTAAAAACTTAGTTTAAATCCAAGAACCGATCATAAATCAAGCAAACCAAATGAAACATTTCAGACAAGATGCGCTTCGAAAACCATCAGAATCACCAAACTCAAATAGAACAATTACAACAACCAAACTCAAATCAAGAACAATAAACAAAAAATCAAAAAGAGAAAGGGAAACTTAGGTCTGCGACCCTTGCTTTTAACCATCAACTTCCAAGTTGACCTGCAATGGCTAGGGGGGCGCGAGTCACGGCTAGGGCTCTGCGGTTGGGTTAGGGTGATAATGGCTAGGGCTTTGCTAGGATGTAGAGGCCGCATAGGAGATGAGGGAGAAGATGTCAGTGTGAGCTAGGGTTGTGGAGTTCAAGGTAAGGGTTGAGGAAGATTGAAAATGGAGCTCAATAAGGGGTGCTCAGGAAAGAGGGGTGCGGGTGGCTGAGTTGTTGAGAGGAGCCGAGAAAAGAGTGAGACAGAGGGAAGAGGAGATGAGGGAAAAGGGGAAGTGAAGGTGCAGGGAGTGGAACTGTTCCGCGGGGAAGAAGCTACAAGGAAGAAGAGTAAGGCAGAGGTAGCTAGGGCTGGAAAGTGGAGGTCTGGCTGAAATTATTTTTTTTACCTTATTTTTTTACCATTAATTACTTACTAATTTTATTTTTTAATATATTTTTTTATAAAATCAGTGTGTAAAGTATGACTTTATTACATACAAATTTTATTATCATTACCTACGGATTTCATCTTTCGAACGTTCCCGCTTAAACACACTAACATTTTATACGGATAATAACTACGGACTACTATAACGTACAAATTTATATACAGATAAAAATTCGTAAGTAGTTTATAATTTATCTATGGATATGGATCCATAAATAAATATCAGCAGGTAATTAGTAATTTTTTTTAGTGTAAACTTCTAAAAATCAAATCAATATCGATTGATACTTTAAAAAGTGGAATTACATATTCACTCAACATAAATATCATAAGTACATACTTTATAACGTAAACCTCTAAGTTTCAATTATATTACACACAAGTGATTTAACCAGTAACTTCACATTTTAATATTTTGCTGAATGAAATTTAATAATTAAAGAATAAATAATAAATAAATTTTTGTTGAATTTGCAAATATTGAAATGCGTTTGTAGTCCAACGGTTAGGATAATTGCCTTCCAAGCAATAGACCCGGGTTCGACTCCCGGCAAACGCATTTGCTTTTAAGTAAATATATTTAGGGAGGTTCCTTTGACTAATGAGATTACAAAGCATAAAAGTGTTTTTGATCTACACACATTACTCAGCTTCCGCAATCTTCATATATCCATCCTCTTTTCACAACGGACCTCATTCAATTTTGGTCATCCACGGCAAACAAAATTCATGGTTTCAGCAGAAAATCGACATTTCATGGTTTCATATGTTCAGACTTGTTTTTATTTGTAGTGCCTTGCTGCGTTTTGGATATTTTGTCAGCATAAAAAGACCTTTATGGAAAATTTCACGGAGAATCATAGGACAAGAATTCGTCGTAGCATCAATAGAACAATTATATACGGTGCAAAAAGTTCTCCAATTATTATCTATGGATCACAATTCAGTGATTCACATGTATATATCTTGAGTAATTTAGTCTACTGCTATACATTGTCATTATTCAAACGCTAGAACAAGAAATATAAACTAATATAATTCTGTTTATTAGTAGAAGAGCAAAGAAGAGAATTAAGCATTTGGGTATATCGTAGTTGTTTTCTTAACTCCTCTTTTATAGCCATGTCATGCAGAGCTTGCATAGTTTGCCATGAGAGGTATCATAACACAGAACCTGCCTTCAACTTAGAAGCCTTTTGCTTGATAAAGAAAGTAGATAGCACACTTTTACTGCGACTATGAACTTGGGCAACCTGACGTCCATTTTGATCTTCAATGGACCCAAGTATTGTCATTGGTTTGGAACTCTTCAATGCATCCTGCAGATACAGAATCACCTGTGACTTTGCCAAAGTTATGCCACTAAAGCACGGAGAAAACTTAATGCTTCGTGGAATTCAAATAGAAATACATACTTTTCCCAACACAACCCCACAATATTGAAAGAGAAGGGAAAGTGCCAAATTCAATCGAATGGACCTATAGTAGAAGTTTCTTTATTCTGTTGGAATAATTATGCATGCTATATCGAAACCATGTTTGAATGAATGAATCAAAGAGTAATTTTGGCTCGCATCCATCACACAATCAGAAGTAACTAAATAAGATCAAATAGATAAAGTAAATAGGATCAAATGGCCAATGGGAAGAACAAAAGCATTAAGTGATTGAATTACTGGTGTAAATTAACGAACTCCAAAAAGAATCTACTATCAAAATTATCAATGACCCTCCCGTTTATCCTCGCATAGGAAATACCCTTTTGGCATTGGGGTATCAGTAGTTTTTTATGTATCAAAATTATCAATGAAAACAGTCAAATACCCCCATTAACCCAATTACACACATATTATCCTATCCTAGACAGGAACTTCTATTGAAACTTTATTCAAGTGCAAAATCCAAACTGCACTCCCCTGACAGATTCTGTCAAAAATCTTGCTTAGTAATGTTAAAAAAAACTCGACAGTTTTTTCGACACATGAAATAAAATAACAGCAGATAGGGAATTATGATCACATTTCACTATTATATCAAGCATGACATCACACTACCATGCATTTGAACTTCCGGATGAAAATAAAGTTACCTCGCCTGTGACACCAAAATTTTGGGTGGCAGCTCTAGAAGTAGGAATTCCATTTGTTAAGTGAAGTTGTGGTGCTGAGGGTTTCATCCATTTACGCTCTTCACTATCTACAGGCATGGAACTAGGAATTGTAAGGAGCTAATGTGTTTAAACAGGGAAAACATAAACATTGCTTGCCCAATGTAACTGAATCATGTCATACAAGAGATAGAGCTATTCAGCATACCTAAAAGGTGGAAAACTCCAGAGGTTTTGGTAGAAAATTTGGAGTCCTTGGGGCTGCAAAAATGGATGTGTTAACATAGTCAAAAAACACTATATCTTGTGCTACAATAATGCATAACTGGAGTGCATAAAGAAAATAAAGCAACGAGCCTACACAGCCCAAAATTGTAAGCTTACTTTTTTGAAGTGCGGGAAGTCTGTTTTTTTAAGGTAGACTTAGTTTCTGATGCTAAATGCCATGAAAGAGTTTTTGAAATAGGGGTACCTAGATACAGTCATAATACACATTCAATTGAAGGAGAAACTGAGAAGGGGGGGTAGGGGAGGTGGATAACATACATAAAAACCAAAAACTCCAGAAGGGGACATTTTCCCAACAGACCTGAAGAAGGAAGACGTGTTCTGATTCGGAATAGATTTTGTCTTGCATTAGTCAGTCTGTGTGAGCTGAAATGTACCTTTTTATTGAAAGAATCTAGCTTGCGTTGTTAAGCAGAAAACAAAGAATCATAAGTATACCTAAATCTGTCGAGTCAATAATTAATTCTGGAGGAAAATTAAAACAGTTAGTCCTACTTGGCAAAATGTAGTGCTTATGATGTCTGGGAACGAATGCCAACAACTGCTGTTGCCGAAGACCTTCTTTATCAGTGTAAACATGACATGTAAGAAGTTTCTGCATGTATGCAAATATCTCATTTCAACTCCAATTCCGATTTATTTCGACATGATATCTCAAAAATATTTGTAATTACCTGATTCAACGTAGACACCTTCAAGTCCATGGTTGAGACATCAAAGGTTTGCTGCTCAAGAAGGTTGGTTAACTTGTAAGCCACTGTTCCCAGATGATCAACAGCATTAATAAGGGCTCTTACAGCATAATCTTTCAGGTTGTCAAGCACCCTGTTGCAGAAATAAAATAAAACTGAATTAGTCTGAATAAAGCCATGTAGTTCAAATACAGAAGAATAATCAGCTGGCAGAAACAAAAATTTAACTAGGGACAACAAATTCTCGGTTACAAGTAGTCTTATCATATGCCATTGCGTCCATTATCTCCAATTTCACTATCCAGACACAACCATACATTTTAAGAATAATTACAAGTTCTTCTACATATATACAATCTCGCAAACACATAGTCAGATCAGGGATCAATAGAAGTTAAACAATAACAAGTTTTATTCAATGTTCATTAGGTGTCCACTTTAAGATCATCCAAAATTTATCAGAATTAATCGTATTAATTTTCTAAGTAGTCTCCATTTAAAGATCCCTTTTCTTGTTTACAACATTTTATTATATTTAGCCACAATTCCATATAAAGTAAAACACACATCTAGCATTTATTGAAAAATTTAACGCACAACTACAAGTAGAAAATTTTAGCCATAACATTGACAGCCTTGTAAGTACTAACTAGGACTCAGCAAAGCTCTTCAGCGAAATCATTAATTGTAAAAATGAGGAATGTTGGCATTCTAGAGCAACAAACTAAAAAATACCCATTAACAAAAAGTACCCTTACACTTGTTTTTTATCACTATGGAGATAAGATTTCTCGCAGTACTCTGCAGCAGAATAGAGTTGAGGCCTCAGATTCTTAAGTTCCTGAAATGAGAGTATTAAGAGGATCAGCACCCAGCAATTAGAATGAGGAATTAATTGTTTTTGCATAGATTAGAGGTCCCGAATGTAATGTGATAATGAGGTTTATGGTTAGTTATGAATTAGAACAAAAGACAGAATAGTAACAGAAACAGTAATTTGGTTCAGTAAGTGGGAGTTGTGATAGATCTGATAACCTGCAAGGCGAAGATGAAGCTCTTGCTGTGCTCCATGGAAACCACGTCCAACGTCATGGCGCGACGTTCCATAAAAAAACTAAAACATTAATGTTAGTTAAGTATTTGTTTGGTTCGCTGGGAAAAGCAACAAAAGTGGATCAAATTCAAGAACTGAAGAGAGAGTGAGTGACAAGGAAGAAGACAAGACAGTCAAATTCCAAAGACAACCTCTCACTCTTTTCATTACCTCTGAAAATCACCCCAACACAATGAATTAATTAAGAATTATTATGTTCTCTGTTGTAACGGAAACACAAATTATTTTCCAGAGACATTCATGCCCTTTCCTGTGTTATTCCATTTTTATATCAACACTCCTCCTCATTCTAGTCCTACTTTATAAATACCTTTTTGTCCCACCTCCATGTATAGCATCTTCTTCACCATTAATAAACTTTTTAATGATGATTTATTTATTTTTCATCCTCCACTTAGTTTTAAAATCTTACTTGTTTTCATTGTATCACATCTTATTAACATATTGTATCAATTTTTTTATTCTTAACACGTTTCTCTTCTCCCTATCAATGTTATCACATGTCAACCATTATTTTCTCTTTTTTAAGAGCATCACCTATATATTTTATGACAAAAAAAAAAGGTGACATTTTTAGTGGGTCTCTCTCTTTCTAAACTCAAAGACATTGTTTTAGGTAATCGAGTCTGGAATAACGATATCCTGATTCTCAATTTTTATTTTTTATTAACTATTGTTATTTGTTTATTCTCTAAAACAAATTTCACTCTTTATTTAAACAAACTATATTTTTAAAACCTGCACAAAAATACAGGAAAATAAAAATAAAAGAGAGAGAGATAGAGTAGGGGAATCTGCTCTCAACTAAAGCCAAGGCACCCAACCCAAAGATTCCAATCTTTTCTAAAGGATTATTCTGTCGTCCAAGGTTTTATCTCCATCCTCTCTTTCTTCTGTTATTTCTGTCACCCACCACTCCACAAGGTGACATTTTTGAAGCTTTTATTTGAGGGAAATAGGGGAAGGCATGGGCTCAAAAAGTAGAAAGAAAATCCAAATCCAACCAATCACACACTTTTCCCACTTAATAACTCCATACATCTAATCTTGTTTTCTTCCCACTCTCCTCTTTTATTCTTCTCATGCAGGAATGACATTTTCTTCTATCATTTTCATTGCAAAAATCTGACCCATCACCATGTCCCTACTCATCCATTCCTCGGAAGCGTTCTTTGTCCCCAAAATTGTGCACAACCGTAAACCTAAACCCAGCAATCTTTACTACTTTAAACCCCTCACAAAGGGCAAGACAATTGGGTTAAAAGTGAGTTGCAAAGTTAAGGATTATGGGGTTTTGGGTTTGGATCAGAATTTAAGTTCGTACGGTCATTTTTCGGTGAGCAAAGAAGAAGAAGAAAAGCAAGAATATTACGTGAATTTGGGGTATGCTCTTCGGTCTCTGAGGGAGGACTTCCCTTCCCTCTTCCACAGAGAACTCTCCTTCGACATCTACAGGTTCCCATTTTCCTCTCTTTTTTTCTTTTTTCAAATTTATTTTATTTCGGACTTAATTGTACTTGTGATTTTTTTATTGTCTTACGTAGAACTCGAGGACCAAAAACTTAACTAAAACATTTATTTTATCTGCATGGTGGTTATTTTGCCTAGTTGTTGTTTTACCTGTTTTCTTCGTTTATTGGAATTGGAAATTTTATGACCATATGCAAATTCAAATTTTCTGTGACTACAATGATATCTGTTTTTCAGGGATGATATTGTGTTCAAAGATCCTTTGAACACGTTCGTTGGCATTGAGAGTTACAAATCAATCTTCTGGGCTCTACGGTTTCATGGCAGGATGTTTTTCAAGGCTTTGTGGATTGACTTAGCCAGCATGTGGCAGCCTGCTGAGAATGTCATTATGGTTCGGTGGACTGTTCATGGAATTTCACGAGGACCATGGGAGAGCCGTGGGAGGTTTGATGGAACCTCTGAGTATAAACTCGACAAGAATGGCAAGATTTTCCAACACCGTGTTGACAATGTTGCTCACATCACATTTCCTAAATTTAAAGTGCTGCGTGTGGAAGAATTTCTTCAGTCTATTGGCTGCCCCTCTACTCCAAGACCAACTTATTTTGAAACATCCTCGTTTACAAAAGAAAACTTGCTGTCTTGTTGCTCAAGTTCTTCCAGACAGTTTTGCAGTTGTTAGGGTAAATACATATAGATATTTAGCAACTTGCTTGACATATAAAGCTGTCTAAACTGTGAAAATTTTCCCAATTGGCCATGCGGTGCACAAATCTATTGGTATAGACCTATAGGGTCTTGTTGGGTGTTGCATTTGGTTGAGCTTCAAACTTGTGATAATGTATGTATGTAAGTATATACAATATAATGATACGATTACATGTTCACATATATATATATCATCACTTTTAAGTACTTCATATGTCTTTACAATTATAAGGACTTACTTAATTGAGAATAATTTGGTGTATAGAGATTAGTTGGAAAACAATTTTTGTTTGAGCAGCAGAAGTGTAACGCGGAGAACAAACAAAGGTTTAATTAAACTATTGTAAAAAAGGATATTGATAAGTGAAGTAGAAACTTCAGGGGTTGAAGGGAACGTTCATAGGTACGACCACAAGGGGACTCCTAACAACGTGCCGTCCTGTTTCTTCAACCCATTCCAATGCAGCGAAAGCCACAACATTTTCCTTCTTCATTTCAGACTTCAATGTCAAACAGAAATTGCGTTTCTCATATTTTCCTTTGAAGACCAACCTATTGGGAGATACTGAGATTTTTGTGTCATTTGAGGAGTTCACACGTGCCGTGTAAGCAGCTGGACCATCTCCAACGTAAGTCACACTTCGCCGGAATTTTCTCTCCACTGTCACACTCTCGTTAACATAAAAAGCCACGAAGGAGGGATAATTGAGGTCATAAGATGGGCTTGAGCAATTGTAGGCTTTTGATCTGGTAATTGTCAAGATTTGGGCCTGGGTGAAATTCATCGCACATAGGAGGTTAACGTAGTCTTGAGGGGTGGCATCATAAATCAAACCTGGGTCAAGGGCCCGGTTGGGGTCAATCAGGCCAGCCCCCATGGCGAGAGGTGAAGCCCGTTGAGGGAGCTCTCCATTTTCTTTAATGGGCTTTCCAGTGTTATCCAATGGGCTGGCCGTCGTAGTCAACGCAGACCTAACAGCCGAAGCAGTCCACTCGGGGTGTGCATTCCTCAACAGAGCCACCACCCCGGAAGCATGGGGACAAGCCATCGATGTCCCCGACAACAAATTGTATTCATTATTCAACAGCACATTTGGGCCAATTTGGGCCGCTGGTAAATCCGGAACCCAAGCCGCCAAAATCGACGACCCGGGAGCCATAACGTCGGGCTTCAATACCCACGGACACTCCCGAGATGGGCCTCTAGAACTGTAACTGGCCACCGTGGGAGCCGGTTTCGTTCCCACGTAGGTTTCTTGAAACTTTATAGTGGCGAAGGCGAGTGGGGTTGCGCGTGCATACTCGATCACCTTGTCCCCGTCGTGAGGGCTAATCAGAAGACCAGGACACGTCATTTTTCCGATTTCAAACACAGTGGGATCAGCGGATACAAACACAGCTCCATACACTTGAGACAATGACACGCGCTGAATCTGTTGGTTAACATCCATAACAGAATCGCATATGACGATGCTGCCACGTGCGAGTTGGGACAAGAGTTCAGAAGAGTCACACGCGGAAACGTTGTTGTGGTAAACGAGAGGAAGGTTACTTACGGTGGCACTTGCAGGGAACAGAGTCCACCCCGAAAACCTCTTCCCGTTTCCCAGAATTAACGTGCCGCCAAGAGAACGCTCTGTGTTGCTCGCTCCAACCGTCAAAACCCACGGAATCCCGTTATGTATGGACCACAGTGACGGACCTGCGTTTCCCGCAGAAGCTGAAACCACGATGCCTTTCTCCAAAGCAGAGAAAGCGGCGATTGCGACAGGATCCTCATACAAGGGCACCATGTCCAAACCCATCGAGATGGAAATAACGTCCACTCCGTCAGCGATTGCTTGGTCCAAACCTGCGAGCATGTCCGAGGTGAACACGCCTTGGGCCCAAGCAACCTTGTACATGGCAATTTTAGCACGTGGCGCAATTCCTCTTGCCGTCCCCTTGGCGTAACCGAAATACGACGCGCCCTTTACGTAGTTTCCCGCCACCGTGGACGCAGTGTGGGTTCCGTGTCCGTTGCTGTCTCTGACGGAGTTGGCGCCAACTTTCGTGAGGTCATCACCGTCGTGCGCCGCGAGAACGCCTTTGTTGAAGTACCTTGCGCCTATGAGCTTGGAGTTACAGAGGGAGGGGTCAAAGCGTTGACCACCCTCGCACGTTCCCTTCCATTTCGGAGGAGTTTGAGTTACCATGCCATCGTCATGAAGCTGTCGCTCTCGGGCCAGATTCCTGAATCGACAACGCCAACGACGACGTTCTGGCCGTAGTTGGAAACGGGCCAGAGGCCATGGGAGGTGTTAAGAGAGAGGAAGCGGTAGGAATGGGTGGTGTCAAGAGTGGTTGCTCTGTCTCTGTATGCTGAGATGAAACCTGGGGTTTGTTTTAGAGCCTCTAACTGATGTGGTGATAAGGCAACACTGAAACCGTGAAGTGCGTTCTCGTAAGAGTACAAAATAGTAGGGTTAGCTGGTGGAGTGGCGGAGTCCAGAGAAGTAACGGTGGATGAATACCAGTGGAGTTGGGAGGTGAAAACTTTGGGCATGCAAGACTTGTTCATGTGAACTATGTACGTCACTGCCTTAGAATTACATAGGCATAGCAATGACATGATTGAGAGAGGAACAATAATGTGTGATAAACAAAATGTATTCATGCTCTTCATTGTCTTGGACATATGCAGGAGAGGTGCAGGGTCATCTACGAGTACTAGATTCAAAGTAGGAAAAGATTTCAGGGAAGAAAAGGATGTTTAATCTACAAGTAGCAGTGTGCATACTGTGGTGCTAAGTATAAACCAGAATCTCAATGAATGAAAGAGTCATGCACTGCTTTTATGTTTCTAAAGGTCAGAAGATTGAATTATTAATTAGAATTAGTGATTAGGAATCATGGAATTTGAAAGAAATATCTTTCACTAACCTTGCTGTAATCAGAAGAATACTAAGTGATTTGACTCCACAAAATTTTATTCCTTGTATTAATATAATATATAAAAGGCAAAGAATTTTCAAAAGGACTGCTAGGGAATAATTAATAATTTATTCATGCTAATTAGAAAATAGACAAAAAATTATTAAAAATAAATGGAGCCACACAAACATATAAATTTTTTCTCAAAACAATTAGAAAGTTATTAAAATATATATATAATCATGTTATTTAACTGATTATACTCCTCAACAAATAGAATCCTGATAATTTTATTTATTTTCTTATAACTTAATTCAAATTATTTTAATATTTAAAATTTTATAATATCTATTAAAGTTCTTCAAAAGTAAAAACTACTTCAAAACAGTCATTGTAACATTTTTTTATACATATCATAGTAAGGATATTTTTATTGAACGACCAAATCACATTTAAATATATTCGTACTTTGATGGATTTGTATTACTTGATTGGCAGACAAATAAAAATATTTTAGTGTTAAGTAACTATGTTATGATTTTATAAGAAAATAACACCAAAAGAAAAAAAAATTATTTATAAACAAATTTTGAGCTGACTGATAGAGCAAATTGTACTGTGAAACATAAATTATAAATTAGCTGTTTCGAAGAATATGTTTTTAAACAAACCAGAGGGACTGATTATGCTCATGTTATTCTTTCTGCTATGATATGCAAACTGTTATATATTTCCCAATATATTTGTCACTATACTGATAGGAGTGAGAAAGTTTACAGGAAGGGTCAAAACACTCTTTTTTTTTTTTTAATCAAAGAGGTATTTTTTAAAAATATTATCAAAATAATGTAAAATTTTTAAAAAATTACTCATTTAGATAAGTCGTGTTATAGTCCTATTTTATAATTTTTTTTAAATTGAAAAAGTCATGCTAGTATCATTATAATTTTTTTCTAATATATTATATTATGATAATTATTACAATATTATTATAATTAACAATAATAATATATTTAATATTATTAATATTTAAAATAAATAATAATAATAATAATTTAATATATATATATATATATAATTATTAATTTTTTATTAATATTATATTATTAAAAATAAAATAAAAGTAATATTATTAGAAATAATAATATTATAATTACTAAAATTATTTAATAATATTATTAATAATAGAATAAATTAATAATAATATAATTATAATTATATAAAATAAAAATAATACTAATAATAAAATAATTATATCAATAATTATAATTCTTATATATTGCTTCTTCTTATTATTATTTAATAATAATAAATTTTTATTAATAATTATTTATTACTAATATAAAATTTATAAATAATAATTATTTATTTAATAATAGTATAATTTATTAACAATCATTCATTATATAACAATATAATAATAATAAAATTAACATAAATAAAATAAAATAATATAATAATGAATGATTATTTATAAAATTAATAATATTATTAATAATTATATTATTATTGATACAAATAATATTAATAATAAGATGATTATACAATAAATATAAATTTCTTATTATTATAATTATTTTAATAAAAAAATATTAATAATCAATAATTATTAGTGAATTTATATTAATAATAATAATAATAACAAATATATAAATAAGTAATAGAATTATAATTATTAAAATAATTCTTTTATTTTTAATATTATTTTTATTTTATATAATTATAGTTATTAATTTATTTTATTATTAGTAATAAAATTGAAATAATATTAATAATTATAACTATGTTATTTTTAATAATAATAATTTTATTTTATCATTAATAATAATATATTAATTTAAAGAATAATTTAAAAAATAATCTAATCATTTGTATTAGATAATATAGATGTCGTGCTACATTAAAAAAAAAAATCATCTTATGTAATATGATTTCATGTAAAGTGGTGTTTGATAGTATTATTTATGAAAAATTTGAAAAAAAAAAATATTGTCCATGTAATATGATTTCATATAAAGTGGTCTTTGATGACACATTTCATATAGTCATCTTAATACAACTTTACCAGGAAAGCTGGTTGGGATATTTCATAACACATTTCTAACTAGTTGTTTGGGGAGCTTTGATGCTTCTATTAACAATTTCTGAGAGTTAAGAATAAATTTAGTAATTATTTTAATAATTAATCATCTTAGTTACCGTAATGAATTTAAAAATTCAACTTCAGGACCCCAACATTTTTAATGTTATTAAATTAAGTAAATAATATTTGACATGACAATAGAAAATAATTTGATCTTTTCATCAGAAAATAAATAAAATAGAAGATATGAAAAATACAGATTACCTAATTTTTAAAAATAAAGAAACAAAATACAAAATTGCCAAAAATAGAGTTTCATTTACTTATAAGAAATCATTTGTGTTTTTCTGATCAGAAAGTGCAAAATTTTATTCTTCAGGCCAGGGATCAGCATAGACAAAGGAGGGTGTCCAACTGTCGTAACCAGGCTTTGGGGCGGACACCCAACTTGCATCAACGATGCAAGGCCAGCCCACTCCTCATATCCCATTAACTGCCTGAAGGATCATACTTTCATTTTGGGCCATCTTAAACAGTTATAGAAGTTTACTTAGTTTTGTTGGGTATTTCCCTGTGATGTGGGACTTAAGTCATATGTGGTGACAGGGTATTTTTCAAAATCTTACCTTCCATGTATGCAATAGCTGTTATCATCTAAATTTACACGTGTATTGTATGACAATGGGTGTTATCATCTATATTTGATGTTCTACATGCCCTAGTATGGATCTATTCGGGACAAAATTTACAGGTTTCTATTGTATGACAATGGGTGTTGAATCAAATTTAGGATTTAGTTAACAGGATTTCATTTTGATAATATATAATACATTTAATAGAATGCAAATATCAAAGTAAAAAAAATCTAAATTTGATTAGAGAAAATATAAACTTGATCTATAATACAATATATAAGTTTTGTTTTTGTTGACATTAAGAGATAATTTGAAGGATTATATCTATACATAGAATAATTCAATGCGTGGTATGTTAATCTTATCATTTTATTAGGCTCAGTCAATGTAAATATGATACTGTCATTTTGAAGGATATAATTTATTACTATGCAAACTGACAGCAGAATAAGTATGGCGCTTTGACTCAAATGTACCTATGATCATACATGACAATGGTGTTCCATTATTTTGTACTAGTATAAAGGAAAGAAAAAACATAATACAGAAACTTTGTAGTCATATTATAGATTATATCTCGATTTTGTTATCATAAAAGAAATTATAAAAAATTATAAATAAATAAAAATCAAAGGGAGATGGCTGAATAATTTTAGTCACTTTCTTTATAATAGAAAGATATATATTATTATTTCTCTTCTACGCATAATTATTCAACTGTGGGATATTAGTTACGCTGGATTGTTAAAGCCATTCAGATTGTTTGGCATTGTTAATTTATGTCCGTGTTCTTACTTTTTAATATCTATTATTATCACATATTTGATATCATATATTGTGATTTACACAATATTGCAAATTACAATGCATGCATGCATGCATGCTAAGTCTCGCTTAAAATCATGATGAAGTTATTGTGAAAAATGGATTGCTGACTTACTTCAACTAATATGGCCATTTTAGTTCTCTCAACAGACTTTGTTAGATAAGGAAAAGTGAAAAGAAATAGATTTTGTGATGAATACATTAGTGTACACATTTTCTTGACTAGTTGACCCTTCTGTTGTATTGATACATTGTAACTACAAACATCATTTTTAGCATTTTTTGTAAAGTAGTAATACGCGATACTGGATATGACATGATTCGATTGGCATGGAAAGTAGTGATACTTCAGACAATCAATGTTATGTTTGCCTTTAACCTATGTTTGTATTGCTAAATATATGAAAATAAGTTAATTAGTTGCTATTAAAAATACCAAATTGACCATCATTTGATGATGTCAAAGTTTAAGAGGAATGTATTTAATATTTTAAATTGAAATAATACTTTTATAATTTAGGGTTTAGGGTTTGCACATATGTTTGTGTTATGTGCACCTGTAAACTATGATCACATCTTTGTGTTACGTGCACCTGTGAACTATGATCACATCTTCTGGAGAATGCTTCGTCCTATTTTAACTTTGACAGAACATGCTCTTGAATGTGTAGGACTTGGTGATTGGGAGCATGAAATGTCACTGTTGTAATCACGTGACTGTCAGAACTGACCCTTGAACAGGCACAGAACGAAGCCTGACCAGTAATAATTAATGCGATCGGTACCACAGGAGATGAACTTCAATGCATGCAGACTTGGAACAAGAAAAACTAGGTAGTAGCTGCAGTATTTATCCAACCGTTATGAAAGTAGATAAGTAAACACATTAAAATATATATATATATATATATATATATATATATATATATATATATATATATATATATATAAAGATGCACTGGGCAAATACCTGTCAAGAACTGGCTAGATGGGCAATAATTAGAAGCAAATCTCTAGTAGCATCTTTGGCCAAAACAAAGTCCAAATACCAATGTATTTCTCATGTGACTCCATTTGAAATGTTTTTCCATGGCAGACCTAATCCTGTAGATCAGTTTTCTTGACCTTATCATTTCTTTAGAGTGAAGTTCATAA